TAAGCTTTTTAGTTAAGAGGGCATATACCACTTACAAGCACTAAAACACTCTCTCGATATATGTATCATATGCTTAATTTTTTCAGAATATGATAATGAAATCTCATCAATTGCATATTTGTATTCATCAAGCATTCTGCTAGATAGCTCCTATTCAAACTTAACAGGCATGAATATACAATCTTTTAAACAATAACCTATTTGAAAAATGAGGGACTGCTATGTAAAGATAATGCACTAAACATAACGGAAGAGAAGGTACATTGTGGACATGAAATATGGAGATAAAAATAAAACTAGTAGTGTCAAAATCAGAAATGGAAAAAACCAAGAAATGAATGCATAGAAACTTAAGTGGAACATACAACATCATCTTCATCAACTAAACAAAACTAGGATGAAACTTCAGTCCAAAAGTACATTTTAACAAGTAGCTGCTGACTGCAAGCAATCACATTGATCGAGTTTAGGTCTAGAAAAGTAATTGGAACAGACATCATCTTCATCAGCTAAACAAAACTAGGATTAAACTTAACAAAACTAGGATGAAACTTCTGTCCAAAAATACGTCTTAACAAGTAGCTGCTGACTGCAAGCAATCACATTAAGTTTTTTTTTTTTGAAAGATACATGAATATTATTAAGGGAAAGAAAAGTACAGCCCAGGCTAGCATGAAACTAACCAAGAGCAGCGGCCCAAAACATACAATTGCCGAAAGAGCAGGCCCTAAGACCAATTGATCACAAGTTAAAAGCAAAAACCGTTACAGGTTAGCTAGCATTCCGGTACTGCAGGAGCAAGACTCCATCTTGATCATTATCTTCTGTTTTCGCAGTCTGGGGGTTTGGCCGGAGGGCGAATGACAGAGGACGGGATGTCCCATTCTGCTGCTATCCTCGAAACATTGAGGGAATCAGAGATTAAAGAGGATAGAAGCTTAGTCCTGATAACATCCAAAACTTGGTTGAGCAAGGAGTTGGCCGAGAGGGATTTGGGCTTGTAGATACGATGATTCCGCTCCATCCAAATGTGGTAAACCAAGGCTGCCAAACTCATTTTGGTGATTGACTGTGAAAGTTTGAGGTACCTTTCCAGTGGTGAGAAGCCCAATGTATGAGTTCAGTCCATGAGGATGGATTAATGTGAAACCCACAGCGTGCTTGTAAAAATTCCCAAATAGGTTTAACAAATTTGCATCTGAAGAACAAGTGATCATGGGATTCCAACTCAGAGTCACAAAGGATGCACATGGTGGCATTAATGTGTGCTGTACACCTTCTGTCCACAGTGGGGAGTCTGTGTTGAATTGCCACCCAAAGTGTAAATGCATGTTTTGGCATTGATGGCTTTGTCCGAATCAGATGAGGCCATGAAAAGGTTAGGATGGTGTTGTGAAAAGTGCTTCATGGTTTGGGAGATAGAGAATTGACCAGAGGAAGAGGGTAACCATAATGTTTTATCACAGCAGTTAGGTCTAATTGAGGGAAGTGAGGCAGTGCTCAGCTGTGGTAAAATTTGTAAAATAGATGGAGGGAATGACCATGAATTATTAGTTAAGAATGAAGATACCTTGGTTAAACAATCAAAACCTGATTCATTGATTTGCTGAGAAGACGCCAGCAGGTGAAGAGGGCCAATGCTACACCAGTTGTCAAACCAGAAATTGGAGTATGAGCCATCTCCAATTTTGAGCTTGACAAGAGGCTTGACCACATCTCCAAGGCTGAGGAGCCTTCTCCAACTCCAAGAACACAGTCCAGGCACCTTAACATCCCAAAAGCTTCTACCTTTAAGTAGACAAGTGTTAATCCAAGCAACGCACAGCATGTCTTTTGAGTCAAGAATATGTTACAAATGTTTCATGACAGCACACTCATTCCAAGTGACAAGATTTGGAAGCCCAAGACCCCCTGCACTCTTAGGTTTGCAGCATTAAGTTTAGGTTCCAAAAAAGTAGAGTTACATGGCTATGGTTCAAATTTTCTCTTCATGCCACCAATGCCGTCACGTGCTCCCCTTTGATGTTGACCTGAGGGACTATAACCAGAGACAAATCCACATAAAATAAGCATTTGCATCATCATGGAAAAATAAGCATTTACAATCACCAGACTATACAAACGATAAACACATTAAACTGCATGTTGAGAAGCATATTTTTCTTGTCCAATGTGTCTATGTGAATACAGAATCAATCAATGCAATCAAATGTAATCAAACATGATGCCAAAAAATGACATCCTTGAAGCTCAAGGCTAGCGAACCATGCTCATAGTGTCCAGGTAATGCTTTGTTCAAGCTAGGGTAGCTCAAACTCGTGAGATCATTTTTGCTTGACATTTGGCTAAGAGCAATCATAAGAAAGAACCAAAATGGATTGAAATTTTGCACCTTTCATATAGACATCAATGTTATGTTCATTCTAAAGTTTCAGGAAGTAAATCTTTGGAGGTGATGGGTCTTTTTCTTTGTTTATACTAAAGTTAACTAAAACGATGTCCCTGAAAATCATAAGCTCATTAAAGCCTCGAATACGTAGGAAACCAAAATGCAGCAGCTACCATTTATTCATAAATGTTTTCTCATTTTTTTTGGGTAAAGGATACTTTAGTTCAACTTAAGTAATTATATATACTTCTCTTAATTATTAAGAGAAGTTTTTATAAAGATATATATTGATAATTGATTATTATATAAATTACTTAGCATATCAATTACTAGTAATTAAAAAGTATGTCACTTAAAAATTGATACACAATAATTTATACATTAAAAAATTAACAAATATATTAATTGATAACTATACTTTCGTAGATTAAATTTTTAATTAATATATTTATTGGTTTTTATATAAGTGTAATAGCATGACTATGACGGTGGATCAATCATATGGGAGAATACCAAACAAAAAAACAATGATATTTGATTACTAACTTGTATATGCTCATGATATATAACTATAATCAACAAAAAATAAAACAGCACTTACATTGCAATGGCGTCGAGAACTCGCAGTCCATTGACCAAGTGAACTGACTGAGACACATTAGAGGCAACAAAATCAACCTGCTGTTCTTCGAAGGAAAAGGACAATGAAGGCAAAGGCAGAGGCTTCTTAGACACGGTAAACTTTAAGCAGGTAACCCCGAGCTGACAGTCATCTTCATTGGGTCCTACCCTTTCTTGTTGATGACACCATATGAGACAGAAGTTTGTGCCGGATAGATGGAGAAATTTGACAGGTGGATACCAATACCATTCCTGGTCAAAAGGTTGGGGAAACAAATTCAAATCCTTCTCAGAAAAGATGACTTCTTTAGGTTTGGCTCGAGGTTTATTGGAATCAAAACAGAGAATGGAACACCGGGTGATATTGTAATCGTCGCAGTAGCGGTGGTCTTGATACTGTAGATAGGGTGCTGCGTTTCTGACATAGGATACAAGATGTCATCAACAAAAATGACACTACGGACCCCATAAGAGGTACCAAAGTTGTTGCCATCTGCACAAAGTCTCCATAAATTGGTATTGAAATTGTATTCAACTAGCAACTGTACAGCCAGGGTGTTGTCAAGAAGACGAGCCTTAAGCACCCATTCCCCAGTTTTTGTCTCCTTAATTTGAAAAGCTTCTATAACATGCTCTTTAAAATAATCGGGAATACTGTTACAGAAATTTGTTGCTGGTCGCCAGCATCTTGTGGTCTCAGCCTCCTCGGGATCAAAAACTTCAACATAATTATCAAAATTAGATGGTAGGGGTGGTCCAGGAGAAAAAACGTTTTTGGATGATTTATGTAAAGGCATTAGCATTGATCCTTCTCTTGGTCATAACAGGACAGCTGGTCTACCCATGGCCCGGTCGATGCAAAAGACTTCCCTGGTGGGGTCTATGGATTCGTCTATCTCTTCCCGCTCGGCGGCGGAGAACCTCTGGCCACCAAAAACATATAATACCGAGCTCAAGACCACACAGGTGGTACAGTTCAAAAAGCCTCCAAGAATTGGATACAAATCGGAAAATTCAGGATGGAGTAATTTACCGTCACTTGTATCGTCGCTTTTTATTACGTACCAGTCGCAAAAGACGTCCTCCCTATCTACCAAAAAGCATATGCCCAATGGATCTTCTTCTTCTTTTGCACTAACATTAGTTGCAGTTCCTTCCATAGCCATCGTGGATTCAGATTTAGATTCAGATTCAGAATCTCTCATCCTCTGTGCTTCCTCTTCCTTCCTTCCTTCACCTTTACACCTTACTCGGAAAAAGTAATTTGGAGGATTCAGGTTAGGGTTTCCCTTTTCCGTGCCTTGCTTCCTCCTTGCACAAGTAAGTGTAATCCACAATGACCTCTTTAAGGTTTAACTTAATTACAAATAAATTTGAGATTTGCATTATTTTGATACATGACCGAAGTTTGAATCGGGTACAAATTTCAGATCATCATAGGCCCAAATTTCTTGAATCCAAACTGATCGCCTCTAAATCAACTGTCCAATTATATCAATCATATCCTCAAATTATCTGCTTTTTTGCCTTTTCCGTTTAGCTTTAGGTTGCTCTGTTTTAATAAAGTTTTATCTTATTCCTCGTGGAATTGGAATTTGTGGTCCACCATGGAAAATATTATTATATAACTTTACTAATATACCTTCGGGACAGAAAGCCTGTCCTGGTTGGCCCCCTCTTCGTGGGCTAATCTAAACATGGGCTTAAGTGATGTTTGAAATACTTGGATGATGTCAAGCCCAACTTAGGATTTGTATTGGGCTTTTATTTAAGAAAAGAGTCCATCCATTTCCAAATTGTTTCCTTTTTGACTCAGCAATCCCTTTGAAATTTTCCATCAAAAACTCTCCAATGAAGAGATTAACCATAAACAACATGCCATGTGTTATCAAATGCATGTATTAAGGTAAATATGAGAAGTTATAAATTAACTTGTGTGATCTCTTTCACACACTGCATTTGATTTCTAATCTCTGATTCATTAAGAAAACAAAGCAAGAAAATGGAAAGCCAAGGTCCGAACATCACACACAGGGCTGGCGAAAGGCCTGTGCCTGGTCAAGCTCAGGTAATCCTAATTAAGATAACCCGTCATGTTTGTCCAATGATATATATCAGTTTTTTTTTTTTGAATGGTATTATATATCAGTTTTTAATTGACATGGTTTTGATAATCTCTGGACCTATCAGTTCTTTTATTATTATTATTATTATTGACAAAAAATACACATAATTCACATTGTCTCTTAGAGACTAAAACTCTCATTAGGAAGTAGAGCATATACTATTAGGCAATAAGATCGTTGATCTATACGTTGGAGGACAGGATCCAAGTGGGGTTTAATTTTAGATGTTAATATACTACCATTACATGCGTTAATAAAATTCTCTCTATATATATTATATTAATTACGTATTTATACAAATTACAGATGCAGAGAGATGGATTAGTGAACCAACCCTCCGATACCCAAAACCAAGGGCAAGAGAACAACTTTCTTCAACAGGTAACTAGCACCTTCAATTTCTAGGTTTCTTTTTTCTTATTATTTTCAAGGATCAGCATTAGTGGCTCCAAATTGGAGAACTGTTTAAATTTTTCTCAACCAATTTAGATTATTGGAAAAGAAATTTTTAAAGGAAGAGGAATTCTCCATAAACACCTTTCCAATAAAATTTTCAATTTAATCTATTAAAATAGTTTTATGAACTTACAAGTTACAACAATGTCGCAACTTTCTTTTTAAAAAATCATACTTCATCCACTTCACTTCCATCATCTAACTTCCATTATGGGTTGTTATATGCTAACTAATCTATTTTTCACTGTGTGTGTGTGTGTGTGTGTTTTTGGCAAAACATATGGGCGAATGGCAGACTGGGGATAGTGTTAAGAACATGGCACAAGGAGCAACAACAATAGCCCAAGGAGCTGTACAAGGAGTTTCAAACGTGGCACAAGGAACTGCACTAGGAGCAGCAAACATAGCACAGGGAGCTGCTGATGCAGTCAAGAACACTCTGGGGAAGAACTCACCAGATAACCTCTCCGCCTACTAGCAATATCAACCAACACACCTACTACCAATATCAATTCAATAAGTGTTCATCATCATTTTTCATTTCTGGGTTGATCTCATCTTCGCTAATTAAGTCGTCGTGATATGTTTATCACAACTGTTCTCGTTGTCATTTCATTTTTTTGATCTACTGGAATATAATTTCTTTCACACTCATTCCTATATGATGCAACTATAGAGTACGTAGCACAATTAAAGATGGTTTCCAAATGCTTAACAAAAACAAAGAACTGCCAATCAAGGGTTGCATAATTCAAGAAAATATATGAAATGAGAGTCAAATGGCCAAAAGTCATGAACTGCCAGTAGAGAAAATATATACGAAGGCTTATAAACTAAGAGAGGCACCTAGAAAATACGGGCAGAAAGTGCAAAACGACTGCTGTTGTGTTCCCATTATATCCCAAGTACATATACACAATAAAATGCTGGTTTTCTATTTCATATTTTCTAAAACATTTAGCAAGGAGTGAACATCAAGAATGGAGTCCCGCACTTTGAGAAGCCAACAATCAAAAAAACCCCAAAAGAAACATTCAATCCACATGCCCATGCTTTGCCAGGGACTCAACTCCGTCATGCAATCCTCCAGTTCCAGATAGATCAAATAGGTCAAAAAAGGGCAAACACCCGACAAGTGCAAGTTCCGCGTCTACAACTTGATTACCTGGAATGCCAACTGCCAATAAAGTTGCAGATCACCCTGGGATAAACCAACACATTTTAAGTCCTGAGGAAATCATTACATGCAAAAGGGTGATCCATATAATTGGCTTAGATTTACAAAGCAAAAACGTTAGGTGAAATTCATTTTCCATGATATGAAAATCAAACAAAACATTTATGATGTTCAGTTAAAACTACCAGTATCCTTCTGCATGTAATATTCAGTTAAAACTACCAATATCCTATACACACAATATTAAAGGTTTAGACATAGAACCAACGTGCAGTGGCCTAGCGGTACCAAGCCCCTACTTTCCAAAGGGAGGTCAGGGGTTTGAACCTCAATGGAGGCACATGTGTGTAAGTACCAAATAAGAAAACAAAAAAAAAGTTTAGACAGAACGTAACAAACATAACTGCTATGTTCTTTTAAATCTCTAAGGCACATTGATACTTTGACATCAAAGAAACAATAACTACTTCAACATGGAACCTAAAGATGCTAGACACAAATATAGTTAATAATTGTAAAATAACCACAAAGCTAAACTCATGCTACAAATTAGTTCAAGAGGACATATTGGAGAACTTACTAGCTTCAACATAACAGTGTTTTGCTCCCATGGGTGAGATTTCCCCCCTCCCTCTTTTATTTTCTTTTTTCTTTCCGTATACATTTGGTACCATTCAAACTATGTTACTTGGAATCCTCCAAGCGTGATATAGATAGAATCTATGAAGCGTGGGTAAGAAAACTAGACAAGGATGACGATGTTAGCATTTTTGCGATGAGGAAAAATTAAGGAAAATTGCCTCTACATTACCAGGATCTGTAATTTGCAAACTTTTGCAAATTCAATGGATAGGAATCAACCTTCAGAGAGCTAAGGGTAATTTTAGCTTTAAAATATTAATGTTTGTCATGTTATATATATTGTTATTCACATTTCCTAATAAAAAAATTACAAACAAGTTGAGAGTTGGCATGGACCTAAATTTTAAATAAACCATGATATATTCTCATTATATCTCAACAATTTCTTTTCTGAAAAAATTCTAAACTTCTCCTGGTAATTAAATTATGATATTATACTTGAAAAACTTTTTAATGTTCAGGATGACATGTAATAGGAAAAATTGGAGAGAATCAATGTGACCTACCCCATTCATATGGGATTAAGGCAAGGATGAGGATGATGACAACAACGACAACTTGTTAAAAATGTATCTCCAAGTATCTAGAAACTATAAAATACATGCTCAAAACAATATAATATATAGTACAATTTTGAATACATTTAGAGAGTAATAATGGATAAATAACCGCGAGTACGCATTGAGTGTTGGAATCTCATACAGACATAATATGGATACATCCCATTTTAGAAGTATTCATCTTCATAGGATAGAATTCCCTTTTTTAATCGCATCCTTCTACATTTAGATAATTAGATTATAATTAGATATATTTTTAAAAAACAACAGCATAAATAACCGCGAGTACCCATTGAGTGTTGGAATCTCATACAGACATGATATGGATACATCCCATTATAGAAGTATTCATCTCCATAGGATAGAATTCCCTTTTTTTTATCACATCCTTCTAAATTTAGATAATTAGATTATAATTGGGTATATTTTTAAAAAACAACAGCATCATCCGTTACACTCGGCATAACATATAATGCATTCAAATGTGCAAGAACTGTCCATTAACCTGTATCCAAGTTTTGGACCAATTCAAACCAAGTCCACGGTGTCCCAAATTTTGGAATTTAGTGAAACCGACACTTGGAAATGCACCCGACACCAGTTCCCAAGTCCATGTAATACATAAGAAAAGTGCATAACATGATTCAATGTGAAATAAAGAATATACTCAATATGTGACACTTTAATATATCTATATACGCTATAAAAGTGTATTCAATTTTGATTTTTTATATACACTTTGAAATAATTTCTTTAATTTACAAAAATATATATACACAATTCTTCTCTCCTCTAAAAACTTTATATGTCTCCTTGTATTTCTGATCTTTATTTATATTTACTTCTATATCACATTATTATTTAAATATTTTAGAGTTCCTTTTACATATAACTTTATTCAATATACTGTAATTATTACATGAAAGAGTTTCTTTGTAAAACTATCTCTATCTTTCTATGTATATACATTTTCGTCCAATTCATTGTTTCGTTGCTTCGCGATAAGTTGACAACACTGCCAATGGTATTGTGCAGGTGTTCAATAAAGATGAAGAAGATTAAGACTTTCACGGACATTACAGAGCGATTGTTTGTTAAAGTTAGAATCAAACATTAACACTCTTTAAATTCTTGAAAAGGTGCCTATTTAACTACTAACACCTTTTCAAAAAGAAAAAAAAAAAAAGAGAGGAAGAAGAAAAGACTGCAGACATAAGTTATTGCAATTTTTGTTAAAGACATACCACAAAGTTTGTTAACTGTCTAATTATTGTTGTATCGATATTCAATTTATTGTAAGAATTTTTAAAGGTCTCTCTTCACTTTTTCTTTTTTCTTTTTTTAATTTGTTGAATCTTTTGAGACATTATTATTATTATATATTATCACTATGTGACTTTTCAGCGTAGAAATGAAACTTTTCTTCTCTTTTTCAAGAGTTGCGTCCAAATGAAACACCCATTCAATTATTATTATTATTATTTTTTTTTTAAATAATTTATGAAAAGTTGTGTCAGAGAGATGTTTGCAAGGTGAAGCACATATACGATTAAAATTATATGATTACATCTTATAAATTCACACCTCTTTACAAAGACACCTTTTCATAAATGCATCAATAAATACCGGGAGTAATTCAATAGACGTTTCGAAAACTCCTTGGCTTCAAGGTTTTTCTCTCCTACTTACTCTCCCTATCAGCAAAATATTTCAATAGCCTGGGCTTTCCCACGTACGGGCATTGCAAAGAGCGAATTAGACTTCTACGTTCCTTTTGCCCCTTTCCAGCAGTATTAAATATTTCTCTTGCTTCGATAATGAATGACCAGACAAGATGAAACAGAATTCAATGTGAATAGAGAGAGCAATTTCTTTTTCTTTCTTTTTTTTAACAATAGAGAGAGCAATTTCACTGGAGTATCTAGGAGGAGTCAATTCCGTCAACTAAAAAATAGAGTTTCAATTCCGTCTAAGTAGCTTCGCTGATTTGCCTGCATGAAAAACAGGACGAAAAGCGGGACAAAGAGTTCATAATTTTACAATATTTGTTGTACAACTCGTAACCTCTCACAAGTGCCGACAAATTTAATGATGTAATATTTCATAAGTATTGATTTTCTAAATTACAGTTTTTAATTTTCTTTTCAATTTCCTTTACTTGTGTTAGATTTGGCTTGTTTTGAAACCCTTCAAATAGGATCTCTGTTGGTTGTTCAAGGATGATTCTTTATGTTTTTTATATTCACGTTTAATGCTTACAATGTTCACTCTGAAAATTTAAATATTATTCTAATTGTTAACTATTTGCTTAAGAGTTTCAATTTAGATATTTTATATAAAAGAAGACTGTATGCTGATTTTAGTATTAATTGATTTTTTTTTTTTTTTTTTGGCAGATTAAGCCAAAAACACTCAAATTGACACCCTAATACATTTGTTACATGGAATTAAAATAATATGAGATATCATTAAATTTTAAATTAAAGATATTTTCAAAATGTGATGATATAGTAATTACTAATTACAAACATTTTATGTGTCACGCATGAAGTCTATCACCTCACGCAATCTAGAAGAAACTTGTGTTTCTCGATATACATATCCAGTTTATTGTTATATATTTTCAACCTTCCAACGGCCAGCCTATGTGTTCAAAAATAAAATCTCGACCTAAAATACGTCAAGAACAAAAAAAATAATAGAAAATAGGATGCAAGTTATAAAATGTTTAACAAGAATTACGTTTCTCTAGAAAAGACACGACTTGGTTTTACCTTTTGTTGTGACATTGTTACATATTCTCCATTCTTTTTTATTTTCTTGGTTTAGTAGATTTATAATTTTCGTTCACTTCAAATGCGTATTTCAATTGACAGGTCTTGATTTCATTTGCCTCTTGTTTTTTTTTTCCATACCATTAGTGATTCACATTTACTTTTTATTTTTTATTTTTTGCATTTTCAAATTTACTTTTTTGTCTGTTTTTTTATTTTTATTTTTCATTTACATTGGTATTTTGCTAACTGATACATCTGGTATTTAATTTTTATACACTTTTACTAAAATTTTGTTCATTACTTGCCTAAAGAATTTTAGATTTTAACACATTTTTAACCTTTTACCTTTTGAAATTAGATTAAAAGTTTCTTGATATACTTGTAACAAGTTGCAACAGTTGGGAATAATTCTTTTGTAGTTTTAAATTGAATAATTAGTAATAATACTTGTCTCACAAGACTACAATAATTAACAAGTGAGAGATTTAGCCATGAGAAAAATAGTGGGAGTGAATCATCTCATAACCTTCAAGAAACCTAGACCATTATAATAACTAAACTATATCTACATACATTATTTGGTATAAAGATGAGAATAAAATTTTAATTTTTATATGAAAATAAAATTTTTAATTGAAGATGACAATAAAATTCTATAAATTATTTCGTATGAAGATGACAATAAAATTTTAATTTTTTTATGAAAATTTTCAAATTTACCATGTCAAAGTTGTATATATATTTTTTTTAAGAGTTCTACTTGTCAAAAAAAAAATTGCTAGATTAAGAGTTCTAATTACCTGCAATTGCACGTCCTTTTTATCTAGTATATATATATATATATATATATACCCAAACCTGTGTCACAACTTCAATTATGATTTAACTTTTACAGCCCTACCTAAATCAAGAAATGAAAGATGAACAAGAAATGTCTTTCATATCTGAACACTGATAATTCAATTATTTATAGTAATTGAACTTGGTCATCTTTTAAAATAGCTAGAAATGAACATGAAACTTGGATCATAAAATCTCAAAAACCACACCAGCATTCAGAATACATACAAAACACTGTGAAAGAGAACTTACAGAATGCTTTGGGAAGAATTTAGTTTGGATTAGTCGAAGACCCTTTTCTACTCCGACTACTAGAAGCAGCAACATTTCGCATATTGGCGGACTCGGGAGGACTATACAAATCCCTATGACCAAACGAAGAACTTCCTCGGAGTCCATGAGATGGAATATTACGAGGGGAACCCAAACTTGGCTCGCTGGTCTCCAAAATCTTGGCTTCCTCAGTCAGCATAGTTAACTGTTTCAGCAAAAGCATGACAAACATTCTGTCTGAATACCGAAAGATAAGAAATCAGCCTTGACTGATTGGGCCCCCAGAGGAGCCAAAAAAAACAAACCCACTACTCTGATTGGTAGTCAAGTTGTCTTTTGCGATGAAAAAGACTCAGACAGCAACATAGTTACCACGCAGAAGAGAGATATTGCATGGGAAACAAATGCAGGAAAGTTGGCCCAAAAATATGTACAACGGATGGAGCTGACTGTTTTAGAGTTTAATGAACTTGAAGCATATATATATTATACAAGTATAGATGCATATAACAAGAATCTCATTAACATAAGTGAACATTACAGAAGTAATATGTGAAACCAAAATGTACATTTTTCAGGAAATATTAATTAATCGTGAAGAAATTTATTGCAAACATTATTATTTTCCATTTTCTAATGATCAGAATGATAGAATCTTTAAAATAAAAAATTTCACAAAGTTTACTGAAAACATTTCATTTTCAGGATTTCTTTTTTCCCCCTGAAAAATGGTCTCCAAACAGGTTTTCTGTCTTATTTTCATTTTTTCAGTTTTCAAGAACAGAGACCAATCTTTAAAACAAGATCAAACGAGCCCTACAGCTTTATCAAGAATTTCCAGCTTCCAAAACAAGTTGCTGAGAAAGCAGGCTTCCCACCTTATGGTAAGTTTTCTAGCAATAATAGTCTAACCCTTCTTCTTCCCCATATATCAAACATAAAATGATAAAACTATAGGGCAAGTTTCCAGTTTCAAAAATATGATACTTTCAGTATTCAATTTTGGGTCAGAACGTGCAACATCAATTTAGAAATTCATTGCAATGGGCAAATAAAGTTTTAACCAAAAGTACTGAAGATTTTGTATAAACTTCATTCTTTCCAATCTTCCAATGGAAAAGAATCCAGCCAAAGTTCAATGTAAAAATATGCTTCAAGGGTCCATTTATCATTCTGGATGTCTACCATCACACATTCTAAACTTTTTATTGTAGAATATCTAATCGAAGAACTTTTATAAAATAAAAACAAATAAATAAAAAACACCACTAAAACAATTTCGTTACAAAAAGAAAAAAGTGGATCAAACTATAAAATAGAGGCGATAATGAACCATGTTATCATTGAAATTCAAAACATTGCTATGAAGATAATAAACGATCCTAGGCTATCCAACCAAAATATTTATCATTTTTTATACCCGAATTTCGTTCTCTCTCAAACGATCCTGGAGAGCATTTATGGCAGGACTTAAGCTGCAATTCAAAAGGAAAACAGTGAGAAAAAACAAAAAGCAACAGGAAATTACTAAAGGAAAAGTAGGCATATGTCTCTAACCAATACTCCATTAATTTGCACATGGAAGCCTGATAGGTAGATGTGTGATGAATGAAAGTAAGCGGGTGCACTTTCCCATCCCTAAGCAAAATCCACCGAATTACAATAGGGAAAAAAAGAGAGCCGCAAAATAATTATAAGCATCACCGTCAATGGTAAGTATGCAACATCACACCATTAGGTCACCTCAAATTCTGTAAGATGGCTTGGTTATACGCTGTAAGCTCCTCTTCATATAGTACATGTTGCAAATCTGTAAATGAATACAAAGGCGAATCGAGCTTGAGAAGAGATAAAGTTGGCAGAACATGAAGAGGAATTTCCTTCCTGACAAACTCTGCACCACTGCCAGCAAACAAAAATCATTGAAGATCCAATATTGAGTATTGTCTCTTGCCACTTCAAATAGGATAAGATATTTTGTTTGATTAATGTGATGTGCAACGGTAAAAAATAAACCAAGGGAGAAATTACAGATTAGAACAAAGAGGAGAAGAAGAAAAACATGCATTTAGAAACTATAAATAATAATAATAAAATGCATCCAGAAACTACAGCAAGAAAGAAAATTTCAATCCAAACACCCAAAAACAATGAGCACACTACCAAACATTTAAACCATTCATTTATTGCAAAAAACATCATAGCCTCCTTATGGACATGACGTGGCATCTATGGGCTTTTTATAATAGAGCATGTTTCATTAAAGGAGATATTTTGCCTCCTTTTCTTATTCTTGTTAATCTTTTCTTTCGTTCTTTTTTTTTTTCTTTTCTTCTCTCTCTCAATTTTTTTTTTTTTTGGATGGAGGGGAGGAGGGGTTGGTTTGAATCAATATTAGTTTCAATTGCTTGAATAATCCATAGTCAGTATGACTTCTCATCTTTACCCCAGAAATGAACAAATTGAATTGCTAAAAGTTAGAACGGATTGTCTATCAAGGAGATACGTCAGAAATACTCGTCAAAAAGAGAGAGAGAGAGAGAGATAAGGAGATAGAGAGAGAGAAGGTATAAATTCTGGAAATTTTATAAATGGAACAAAAAGATGAGAAATGTTAAAGGAAAAAAAGGAAGTAGAAGAATCAATTTAAATGTTTTAATAGCCAGACAATCCATTGAACCCAGGCGTGATCTTTCCAAAACAGTTCAATCACTAGGGGAGTCTAATTTGAAGCAGTGAAATAGACAGTATCCTCTTCTTTTCCTTATCACATCAAACCATATTTTCAAGAGGTTGAAACCTGTAACTGAACGGCTAACCAACCATAGGAGTCACACACTCCATTTCCTATTTTTTCCCACTAGATTGTTTAAGGACGCAATTTACAAGTTGTAAAAGTTTGCTGAGATTTCCGCTGTATAAGTTCAATAGGAGAAACTGGAAAGGAACACAAATATTTCTACCACATTGAGGAATGTAGCAAAAGTAAAAAGAAATAAATAAATATATGCATATTATCTAACATGTCCCTGTCTGAATATCACACTGTAAATATAATGCAAGTAAAGGATATATAAAAATGGACAGTCGACTAAATTTCCATCAACATATTTTAATTTTTTCCCTCTATTTTACTTGGTGGGAGGAGCCCCAAGAAGAGAAAATTTTGACATACTGAATGAAATGGACACAATATCATATTTCAAACACTAGCATCAAAATATATGCATACATATCTAAAGCTCCCGAGTGATGATACACAATTACATGCTCATGCTTACCTCATGTCCAAATTTGAACGGTGCATAGCTTCTTGCATACTTTCTGACATATCCATGGGGTCTAAATCAACCATGGAATTTAATTTGTTTCCTCCCATTCCATCACCACCTAGATAGTTTGCATCAGCATTAGCAAAGAAATCCCCCAAGTCTGACGACCTTCCAATACCCTAGACAATGGCATACAAATTAACATGCTATAATGAAACGCCAAAGTGAGAGAACATCAGCATTTTAAGAAGTAAAGAACAAACAAGTTTATCCCCAACTTTTTAATATTTCTAGAGCCCCATTTGCCAGATTAAGCAATAGACTGATTTTCAAATTTTAGAACCAAGAAAAATACCTTAGAAGCTCCAGCAGCTGCTTTTGAGTCACCAGTGTCCAGGAGTGCAAGACCTTCTGCCTTAGTAGAGCCGGATCTTGTTAATGCATTCTCTGAGGAACTTACAGATGACTCAATATCTATAACTAAACTTCTATTTACAGGGGACAGAGAGACTGGTCTCAACATGTGATTCTGCTTCCCATCCAAGGACTGGAAAGCAATAACTTGGATCCTTCCAACCTGAAATAATCCAACTATGTTCTGTATTTAATTGGCTTTCCAACATTTTTTATAAATTTCTTTTTCATTAATAACCAGTTAACACAAACCTTGTGCACATCTTCATTAAAACAGGAAAATATCAGCCCAATAAACCCAGAATCTAAAAGCTGATACATGGCCTGAGTTCGCACATCTGCAGAAGGCATGAGACAGAAGCACATCCTAATGTCAAGTGGCCAACAGAAACAGTACAAGTATCTAAGAGAGAATGTTCTGATATCTAACCCAAGCAAATGACAACAACCAAAAAGGTTTATATTATTTCAATAATTTCACTGTGAAAAATAAGATTGAAGCGAAGTTAATAAAACTATCTGGAAGATATAGTAAAATAAAATGTATCCCAGGCAAATGCATGAATACTTCCTCTTTTATCGTGAATATAGCAGAACATTTTGACTAAAGCTTATAAACCAAATTTACAGTGTTTATAACAGAGCAGTGTTATCAAAGGCCCAAGGCACACTAAGGCACTACAGGTCCTTTGGAGCCTAGGCGCAAGGCAAGGCACGCGCCTGAGTGATGCAAGGTGCACAATTGAAAAATTAAATTACTATTAAAACATATTCATATTCCATATTAAAGGCGCACCTGGGCAACAACAGGCACAAGTGTTGCACCTGTATGAGCCAGGAGCCTAGGCACGCCTTTGACAACACTGTACCAGAGACTGTTTAGATTTACCAATACACCCATCATCAAATCCTAGGTACATTATAAGAAATAACAAGTACACCCTACTTAGTATTCAACCTTTTTCACAGTAGAATCTGTCAACACATTCATATGACTCATGTCAGACAATAGCAAGCGCTAACCATCTCAAAATTCATTTTGTTTTAAATTAAAGGGTTAAAATCATAAAACCCCATTCTTGTTACTAAAATTATCATCTAACACCCTATAATATCAAATAACCCCTTAAACATTAAAAAAACTATCATGGTACCCCCATTCTGTGACTCAGCCGTTAAGTGAGGATTAAATGACCAAATTGACCTCCATATTATATTAATATTTTGAGAGTAAAAATGTATATTTTTAAAATGACAATTATACCACTTCTTCTTCAACCTTTCGTTTCTTTTGCTAGAAATTTATACTTCCACCGCCACCACGGTACCACCACCACCATCCATACATGATTAACCCAATTGAACCCCCACATATATGTTGTAAATGAATATAAAGTGCGACATTGAAGAAGATACACACACACACATATATATATAATCAATTTGCAAATGGGTCAATAAACTGACCCATCTCTTTAATTAAATTAATTGATATATATATATATATATATATATATAAAATCAATTTGCAAATGGGTCTGTAAACTGACCCATCTCTTCAATTCAACCAATTGATACATAATAAATCAATTTGCAAATGGGTCTATAAAAGTGACCCATCTCTTCAATTAAACCAACTGATATATATATATATATATATAGTATAGAGAGATGGAGATTAAACTGTTGTATAGTATCTTAGATTTTTTTTCAAATTAATTCTCAATTATAGTACAAGAATTTCTTCCGCAATTAATTTCTAAGTAAGTTATATGTATATACATAACACCAGTTTAACAATCCAGCGCTCAAATCAAAGAAGAGGAAGACGAGTAAGAGTTCAAGTCGCCAAAATGGATGATTCCGAAAAGAATACCGACGGTAAGTCGACCGGTGGTGAACTTTCGTAAAAGAAGTCCCCGTGGTCCTCCAACCCATTCACAGGAACCGGAAACGATTCTTATTCTTACACCAGCCTCATGGGCTCGCTCATGCGTGATGAGAATGATTTGGGGCTTCTGTGTTTGCTGTGTTTGATGCAGATAAAGAATTGGATTTGCAGGTGAGGCACGTGATAATTGTAGGGGTTTAAGAGGGTAATTTGGTCAATACATGATTATAAGGGTAAATTAGTCAATAAGTGATTAAATGGTTGCACCTGACTCTTTCTCCCATTAGTTTCGGACGGCAAACTAACGGAACGGGGTGATGTGATGCACTTTTGAAGAGTTAAAGGAGGAATATGATAGTGTCTTTAGATGAGGGGGTTAGATGATAGTTTTGACAAACAAGAAGGGGGTTTTATGATTTTAACCCTAAATTAAAAGTGTTGGATATGTACACCGAAGCCAGAGTTCTGATTAGTTAAAGTTCCTATCATAATCTGTTATATCCGACTTGTCAATGGGAGAACTTGCTTATTGTTTTTCTCACTCCCCAACTTTGGACATAATATTAACTGCACAAACCTATACTGCAACAGATTCGAATTAATAAACATAAGTTCCCAACCAAAATAGTAACAAAGTATTCTTGAAAAGAAGGATACTGACTTATAACTGCATCAGTTATACCTTAGAGAGAAACATGTTCATCGTTACTCATAATGGTGATTGGTGGTCATAATTATTATCTAGGTTCATTCTTACTATCAGTTGTGTGTGAATTTATATATTCACCTAAATTCTATTTTGGTGTCCAGAAATCTAGTATTCCAGTACCCAAGCACACTAGGATTTTTCTATGTTGGGCTGAAAAAATACTGCCCCTTCTTCATGATGAAAGGTACTTGTTCCTTCTAATATGAAATTTGATTTTTAAAATGATCATGACTGAAATAGAATATCAAAGGGAGAAAATGAAAGAGACGTGTAAGCCCTAACACAGACTGGGGAAGAATTAGTCCAGGTAGAGTTCCTTTTAGGCGTTTTAGCAATCTGCTCTAATGCAAAATCCGGATTTGATGTTAATTACTGCAAAATCCGGAGTTGATGTTAATATAATTCAACCACTGTTGTGTGATGCTCATATCTTTCAAACAATCACTACATAAAAATTGAAATATACAGGACGTACTAAAGAATGAAGTCTAAGTCGATCAGAAATTCAGACTTAAGTTAGGCATTTCTTTTGACTTCAACAACCAAGTGCAAGGGAAAAGGAGCACTACATTCCAATGGCCTGAGGACATGGTACAACTGAATAGACAGAGATAAATAAATAAATAAATGCTTATTACACCTTCAAATATAATAAGGTAATTTTTCAATGCAGGACCAGCTATCTTTTCGTTCAATGGACATGAATTATCTTTGAAATGTACTAGTAGTTTAATCACTTCTTGAAGTATTTGTATTAAAATCACCAAGTAAAGGCATAACACAATCAACATCATATTTGCATTGGTCCATGAATGCAGAATCGCAATTGCCCTAGTTTGATTTAAACATTTATATGTTATTCCTGTAGGTATGGAATTTCCAACACTTGAGGAAAATGGACATGTGGCACGAAGGAGGGGGACCACGGGCAGGGACGGAGCCATTCACAACTCAGTGGGGGCAATTGCATTGAATTTTTATTTTTTTTTAGTAATACAACCTATTAATTTACATTTTTGATATATATACAAACAAAATTACACTACCGCCCCCACTAGATTATTAAAAAATTACACTATCGCCCCCCTCACACAATTTTCTAGCTCCGTTCTTGACAATGGGTAAGGGTGGAACTAAAATTGTCTTTCTTATGACCGTGCTCATTAAACCCATTGCACCCACAATTCAGTAAGCTTTTCTCAAGGAAGAGGACTCTTGAAGGTCTCTAGCAACCCAACTATTAGCTTGGTGAAAAGCACACTCTCTCTAAAGAACCCGGGTTCGGAGCTTCAAAGAGGACCTCCTCCCTAATAACAGATGAATCCAACAACATGAGGACTTCCTCCCCTATAAATAAGCCATGATAATAGCATTAGCCTCTTTGTCTGACCCAACAGGTGAGCATCTTTAGTTTAAAGACACAAAAAAGGGTCTCCAAACCCATTCCTTTGTTGATTTGAAGGTTGGTCCAACCCAGGTTTTCCCTTACAGAAAGAAAGGTGGAGTTGTTGCTCAATACTGGTGAGGTTTTTGTTGTGGTCTTGGTGCCACATAGAACAATGGGCGATGCCATGTAGAAACAGATGCTAGTCATATATGTTTCATCTGATGAAATTTTTATCCATTTATATCGTTATGATACAAGGCACATGGGGTAGAAGATTGCATTTAGATAGAAAGGAATGACAAGAATGATGCCTGAACAACAAAACAGAATTGAAAAACGTGAAAATCTTCTAATTTACGTAAGACATAAATCATTTTAAGATCAATTTGGCTGAAGAGAAAAACAATTAAACAAATGTAAACCATTGATAATTAAGCACTTACCGACATGGGAAGGAAGTACTGTGATGTGAGGATGCGAATGGTACCAACCAATCACTCTTGTTGTTCTTCCGGTCGCCACAGTCATTCTGTGCTATATAGTTAATTGAACAAAGTCGCAGACAATTTTTAACTTCAAAGAGAAGGTAGCACGGGAAAAAGCACATCAGATAATGCAATCAATGAGAAAACTGATCCCGGGGACCTGGTTATCTATATTATCGTCAACTTAAAGCTGTGAACTCAGGTTAATACACGGCTACATGGATGATTCACAGAATTACTAATAATGCTGACCACATTGAATCCCAATGAGTAGAAGTGAAACCATTGTTAATAGAAACAAATCCTGCCATGTAAAATAGTAACAAAAGAAAACAACAACATAAACTGAGACTGACATTTTAGTTGAAACTTTTTCCTTTTTTCAGAACACAACAATTAATAGAACAGGCCAAAATTCATTTGGACGAAAAGTCAGGTAACAACAGTAAGTAGCCTCGTGTGAGCTATAAAGTATTTTCCCCTTTCTGTGACAAACAAATGTCACCAATGATATTGTTTGAACTCATACAAGGGGGGCATCACCCAGAAATTCAAAGTTATTAATTAGGTGAAGCTGATTCTTTTATTAAAGGAGCATATATAAATATTTAAGAAGAAGGTAGAAAGAATGGGAAGTTTCTATAGGAATAGGCGGGTAGAAAGCAACATATGAAGGATATCTCAGCCTGAACTGATGCAGCAGTCAACTGTTCAGGATTAGTCTCTACTCGGTCCTTCCGCCGATCAGAACGTGGCTGTGCCAATGCCCCCCAAATTAGAGCCGTCACACCGCCATTTTTTGAGTGCTGAAATATCCAGGGTCAGACCCAAACCAGCATTGTGTGTGTGTGTGTAAGAGAATACAAAACAAACCCCAAGTCACTATAGAACCATATTAACTAATTTACAACACTTTTGCTCATATTAAAGCAGATAATGTACCGTAGTCACCAATTAGAACACTATAATTTAAGGTTATCATTTTCTTTCATCGAGATAAGAAAACATAAGATATTTTGTCATTTAAGTACATGGGAATTCTGAAAATCATGGTAAAATTTCCACTTTCAATTTTCTGCACAAGGCTCTTAACACCCAAATTGACATGCTCAGTTTCAAAAAAGAAAAATAAATGAAAACTACGGGGAAAAGGTGTTGCAATTTCACTGTGATTGAGATGGAAATAAATTAATTATCAAAAAAAAAAAATTAGTTATAAATCAAGGGATGTAACTAGTTTTAAAAAAAAAAAATGCCAACAACCCAATCCAGTATAATTAATTTCAATATGGAACAAATTCCCAATTCTAAACACCAATTCCGAAAAATGTGCAAACCCAGTGAAACTGAACTACTTCAAGTCACTCCATAATTCTCAAGCTACCAAAAAGGTCAAATTTCACATACCACCGTCAACGAAACCAAGTTGTATATAAATGACAGAGAGAGAAAAGAAAAAATAAGGACTATTACAATTTTCTAAGTCTACTTGTGTAAGAAAGTCATATTGCCTAAAGTTCTGAATTTTTCATGTAGAGAAGTGCAAGAGAAAGCAATTACGCCAGAGCTGCTTAGAACTAGAAGAAAGCAAATTAAGAACTTGAGATAATCTTGTAAATGAGCAATTCACATCAAAGACAATTGTTGAAGGATTTGTATATTTAAGGTACAAAACTTAAACTTTTGGAGTAGATGGTTGTTAACGTAGTATCAGACCAAGGCTCTCAAGTTCAAACCTCACCGTCGCCCTAATTAAAAAATTGAAAAACACATGTTGGACCAAAAGAAGGCCACAAGTGAGGGGACGTGTAGAAGGATTACCCCTTCTCTAACATCACTTAAGCAAGTAAACCGAAATCCCAGACATTTACGTAGAGTCGTGTAAATCCTCAGCAAATGTGGCCAAAAGATTCAAAATAAATTGAATTTTTCATCCAATTCTCAGATGTAAGTAATCCCAAATATCTAATCAACATAAGTTCATATGGAACCCGCAATGAAACTAGATTTTAGAAAACACCATATAGAAATTAAACAAAAACCCATATTGTCATATAAATCCCCAAAAAGAAAATAGCTTGCAAGCCAATTCAAACCCAACCAGAGCATACATAAATCAGAGAACTTTTCTCTGATCCTTGGCAGCGAGATATACCAGACCATTCAATCCAATATAAGTCTACATAGAAACACGAAACGAGTACTAGAGCTCGAACATCAATTTCAGAAGAGAACAAAACCCTCAAAGCCTACTTTGTTCCGACTTGGTTTCGAGTACAGTTCTCAACTTTAGTAGCAATATTTCAAGAACAGATAAAATGGGAGTGTTTCCATAGCTCAAAACCCTAAAGATTGAATTGAAGGGATCAAAATCAGACCTGAATGTCTCCGAGAAGAAGCCCCATGATCTCTTCGGTCTCCGTGGACAATGCATGAGTGAGACATGTTAACCAAACATCCTCCGACATCTTCACGCACGTTAGAGACATCCTCGGATGCGCGCAAACTCTCTCTCTCTACTTTCTCTCTCTAGAAATCTTTCACTTTGTGCAACTCTTCCCCTCTATCTCTATAAATCTGAGAAGAAAGATCGGGGTGAACAGAGAAATAAAGCGATCGAAGGAGGAACTGGTGAGAGCTTTTTGAAGGCGATGAATGGGAAATGCATTTGCGATGATACCATATGGGCGGTAGTAGTTTGTTATCGCACTACCACTAATCAAAACCGTTGGATTCTCCTAAATTTAATAAATTCCATTTTGGTAGTTCGTAGGAAAATTTATTACTCTTTTTAGTCTTAAAATAAGTGTTCGTTTGTTTTTTTTATTTTACTATCTCAAAATAGAAATCAAAAATTTTGTATAGACCTATCAATGGAGCCGATCACAATTTGGATCTAATTCAAATCCGATCCAATTAGTCATATATGGATTAAACAAAAAACTAAATATTACGATCCAAATTCGATAATCCGTTAGCCTAACAAATCGAATATGAATTATGTTGATCCAATCCGATAATAATCCGATCGGATCCAAATAAAATTTTATATCTATAATTATTTATCAATAATTATAAAAAAATATTCATAATGTTATATATATAATAATATGGTATTCTCATACATATACTAATAAATCTCTTAATACACATATTAATAATATCATACTCTTTATTTATTAATAAATAGTAAATAAATTTTTTTTCTTTTCCTTTCATATTTTTCTTATCTTTTGTTTGATATTTTTTCTTATAATCATTGGCTTTTTTTATTCTCTTTTAACATTAATAAAATTTTTCCCCTCGGGTCAGCTTGGATTATTGGATCGAATATCCGTTTATTAACAAATCGAATTCAGATTAGTTTACAAAATATCCGTAGAATTATCGGATCGAATTTTATCAACTAAAATACTTATCAAATTCGAATCGGATCAGACCTAATCCGGTCCAAATCAAATCCATTTACAAATCTAATTTTACATCTTTTCATGAATATCCTTCATGTTTTTTTTTTTTAAAGTCAAAGTATATATATTCCAAATTAAATAAATAATTTAATAATTTTAAAAAATACAATGCATTATTAATTGCATGACATCTTCTACTCCCCAAAATGAATACTTATTTTGAAAAGAGGCAGATATCTACAACTAGTTAAATAACTAAATGTAATATATATGACTGGTTAGTTGAGATCACATCATCCTTATACTTCCCAATAATTTTTATTTTTTTCTTCTAAAATAAGAAACTATGGTCTCAACTAATCATAACGAAGTCGTATATTTATGAATCTGATACATTTTTTGTTTTTTTCTTCTTAAAAATAAGTTTTAATTTTTATTTTTTTTACATATGGATTTTAGTTTAGACGAATGAGTTGACCCGAGGAACAAAACTAGCGGTGATAGCTCCATCATTAGTGCGTTATGTGAAATTGTTTTACTTTTACTTTCTTTATACACTCTTTTTGAACCTTCAATCTTTTTCAAAATTTCATTTCAAATTGAATGCTTTCTTCTCGGAGGATGGATTGAATAAAGATGAATGGAAGATAAGGAGGATAAGAGAACTTCCATCATTTGGTTGGAAGGAAAGATAGAATTTGGCTCACATTTTTTATACCTCAAAAATTTGACAAAAGATAGGAGGGCAAGAAATAGAAAACTGCTCTATAAATGTGAAATATCATTTTTACCTTACAATTATTCACAAAATTACTTTGTGAAGTTAAATTTTATATGAATTTATATAATTAGAGTATACCAATAAAATAAATCTCATTCTCTTCTTTTTAAGAGAACAAATAAATGTGTCACATCTTCTAACTTTTTCATTTCTCAATCACTACTTACAAAACATAAGAAACGTGTAATAATACCCCCAAAATTTATTATTATTAAATTTTATTTTAAATTTATTGGTAACACCCTTATAGGTTGATGCTCATAATAGTGATCAACCATTAAGACGCTATGAATAAAAAAAAACGACTTCCAATGTGAGAAAATTAAATAGAGCCTTACAAATTTGAGGGATTTGGTAGCTGACGTTGAGTTTTTTTTTAGTTGAATGCTAACGTTGAGTTGTGATGTAGTAAAAGGAATAAAATAGAATGACCTACATATATATGGGATGACATCCGTATATTGGAACAAAACTACATGTTAATGCATGATGTAATGAATTATATCAATGGATTTACTTTGTTGAACGAAATCCGAATATTTACATGGTAGATTAACGAATTCGAATGTTTACTATGAAGAAGAAGGTGTTAGGCACTTCACATGGTGGGTAGTTATTATCAAACTCGCGTTTGAGTTTCTTATCAATGAATAAAAAAAAAGGTAAAAAATTAAGGTTTTAAATCTTTCTCAAGGCAAAAAGTGGGTATACAAGTTAGAAAGAAAATACTAAATTAAAAAAAGGTCAGAGTGCAAAAAAGTCCATACAACAAAATATAGAATGTGCAAATACTCATTTAGTAATTTTTATTTTTTTAAACAAACCTACATTTTCCAAACTAAGCAAATAAGGATAGTTATTCAATTTAAAAATTGAAATACCTAAAATGTCCTTAATACAAAAAATTAATTTAAAAAATTTGCAATTTTTATAAAAAAAAATTGGGAATTTAGGGTATTTTGAGATTTTTATAAAAAAAATATTGAAGACTAAAATACCTAAAACGCCCTTAAGGGTAAAAAATGAAAAAAAAAAAAAAAAAAAAATGACAATCAAGGGACAATCTGCCATCAATTTTCAAATGATATGATTTACAAGCACTTACTAATACAGTGTTTTTTGGCACTATTTTTATATAGGAAGGGTTTTTTGTAATTTAACCTTAAATAAATATCTTAACGAGTGAAGCATTCCAAAACAAGCTCCAATTTATTTTTAACTAATGCTTCGTTTGGTTGGAGGGATGAAAAAATGGATAGAAGAGATAGAGGGATGGATGGATGAGGAATCCCCAAGGAACAGAAGGTGTCTCATCAATTTTTTGTTTGGTTGAATGGAATGGATAGTAGAAATGATCGGCGGGGTGATATTTTTTTTTATTTGGTTAGAAGGAAGGAAAAGAAATTTTTTATATTTTTTTACCAATATATTCTCACTGTATAAAATAATAAAAAATAGATATCCATTTGAATTTTTTTGAAAAGATTAAAATTGAAAATTGCTTATTGTTGGTAGTTATTCATTTTCTCTCTCCTCCCTTCCCCCAAAATTGGGCGGATAGAAAACATGAAGAAATGAGGGATGAAGCATCCCTCATTGCTTCCTCCCTCTCTTCCTTTCCCTCCAACCAAACACGAAAAGCCTCATCCATCCCTCCTCAATCCATCCCTCCAACCAAACGTAGCATAAGGCTCCGTTTGTTTGGAAGTAAAATATTGTTCAGAAAATATTTTTTTAATTTCCAGGTATTTGGTTGTCATAAAATATTTAAGAAGAAAAAAATATATTAAAATTTAACAAAAATAACTTATTCATCAATTTTTGACAAGTTATTTTACATGCCCCACTCGATGAACTCGACTTCAACCTTGAACTAGACTTTTGTCAAACACCGACAAAATAAAAATAAAAATATTTTACTCTTTAAAATAATATTTTACGTCAAAACAAAGAAGCTTTAATAAAAAATAACATGCATCTAATATCTACATCTATTACATTCAATTAGAATCCCCTCCTATAAAGGAATCACAGGATCCCAGCCTAAAAAAAAACTACAGTTTTGAGACACAACTATCAGCCACTTATTAGTATTACATTTTTCATTAAAATGTGTTACATCTCTGATGTATGGGTTGCACTTCTTTCTTTTAAAAAAAAAATGTGACAAAAATATGAGAAACATGTTATATGTATACCTTTCACCTTACGGTATAATTTGCATGATAGATTTAAAAACATCAAACCCTAAACAATGATGTCCAAACATTTAACCCTAATAATGGTGTTCAAAGTTCAAATATTAAACTATAAATACTAATATGGAGATTACACAATAGTTGCTTCTAAAGTCTTATAAGATGCGTGGAATAGTTGCTTATGAAATCTTCCAAATGATTATTCTCATTTGTTGCAACGAGAATTGAATAGATGTTAGAGAGAAGTTGGTAGAGAGAGAGAGGCAGAGAGAAGAAAATTTAATTCGATTTTTATTGTCTTTCTGTAAAAGGAAAATTAATATTAAATTAATATATGCTAAACTTAGCGAATGGTTTGAAAAATAAAGTGTTTCTTAAATTTTTAAATGACTACTCGATGTGGGGCGCGAATCACCTGTTGTGCGATTCCCGTACTATTTCCTACAGTGAGCGGTGAGTGACCTTGGTTTGGCCACGTTTTACTCCACTTAACAGACACTAAGAGTGTGTTTGACAAGTACACCAAGTAACATTTCACTATCATTTATAAGTAACATCACGGAAGTCTAAAAGTAATATCACATAGTCTAAAAAGTAACATCATCTCCATTTAAGTAGTGATGTTATCTTCTTACAAATAGTGATATTACTTTTTAGACGGTGTGATGTTACTTATAAATGACGGTGAAATGTTACTTATAAATGGCGGTGTTATTTGAAATTAAAAGTGGTGATGTTTCCTTTTACAAATGGTGATGTTACTTTTTAGATTCTGTAGTATTAGTTATAAATGGTGATGAAATGTTGTAGTATAATTGGCCAAATACGTTCTTAGTGTTCGTTAGCTGAAGAATGATGTGGCCAAATATGGACCATTTAAAAATTACAATACGAAACTGCATAGAAACCTCATTGCAGGTGATTCATGCCCACCCGATGTGCCTCAAATAGGATCCACATGACAGGTTGGATCCGAATTTCTGTTATACTACTTATGTGCGACGTAAAGAAAATAAATGTTACATCAACCAAGTTAAAATGGTGCCATCACTTCGTGATTAATTAACGGGCAATACTAGTTTTTCTCACATTACACTTTAGTCGAAAAACATGGGGTTACTTTACTACGAAGGACCTCGGTGTAATGTGCTCAACAGTGAGAGTCTATCTGTCTCTCTCCTCAATATCTTCGGAGATACGTGGGGTTCTGATCTTTCGGTGAGGACGTCGTCTTTCCAGTGTAAGGTACGAGGGCATAGTCGTCATTTCGAAGGAAAATGCCAAAGTTCTGCTTCAACTAAGGTTTTATTTTCCTCCCACTACAAACTACACTTAAAAGGGTTTTGTTTGAAATGTTACAGAGATGGATTGATTGTCTGCAATGCAAATAAATGGTCGTTCAAGACACTTTTCACTCTGTTTTTTTTTTTTTTTTTCTTTGGCAGTATTGACAAAACTTATTTTATCTGATTAACAAACAAGATATGTGCTATTGATAGAATCTGAAGGTTTTTGCCCAAATTTCTATTATGGGTTTGTTGAATTTCATTGACATTAGGCATTCTGTGCTCAAATTCTATGTGAATATTCTGTAAATCTGAATCAAAATCTACGGTTTAATGCAAAATGTTCATGTGTTTTTTTTTTTTTTTTCAATTAGGTCCCTGGAAGAACTACCCAAGGTTAATTGTTTTCCAGCTTTGAAACCCTAAATTTCCGCTTGCTACACTTACTCTGAAGGTTTTTGTTCAAATTTCTAATATGGGTTAGTTGAATTTCATTGACATTCTCTGCCCAAATTCTATGTGAATATTCTGTAAATCTGAATCAAAATCCACGTTGAATGCAAAATGTTTGTGGGTTATTTGATTAGGCCCCAAGAAGAACGACTCAAGGTGAATTGCTTTCCAGCTTTGAAACCCTAGAATACAGCCAACAACATGAGTGTGCCTGCACGGACCGGCAAGCTTTTTGCCCCACCCAATGAATCTGGCGGTGAAGCACTTGCGTTCTGGTCACCATTACCACCACCATGTCAACAACAATTTGAAGATCCTTGTCTTATTAAGTACCCATCTTTCAAGAAACCCATATCTTCTGATACAGTATTGAATCCGAGGATCACTTTACCGGTCAGTAGATCGATAGATGCCATTCCCTTCAAGACCCAATTATGCACTAAGTTTAGATTGGGTAATTGCAGTTATGGGAACCATTGTCACTTTGCCCATGGCATTGGAGATATCCGAAAGCTTCCACCCGGTAAGCAGGGCCGTGTGGTTGAAATTTGGGATGAGAACCGCAGAATTATCAGTGAAAGACTATGTAGGAAGTTCTGGAATGGGGAAGAGTGCCCATATGGAGTGAGATGTCATTTTGTTCACAAAGGTCTCAAGAAAGTTAGAGAAGATATAGGTCTTTCGAGGAAGAATACTGCGATAAGCATTTCAACTACTGGGTCTGGAGGGGATTGCAGAAGTGGCTCTGATCCATTTGAATACACGAGGGTTGTAAATTCAAGTTTGAATGCTAATGGAGTGAACCAAAATCAAGTGTTTTGGAAGACGAGGCCCTGCAGAAAGTGGGAGACAACCAGTTACTGCCCATATGGCGATAGATGTTCCTATGCTCATGGACTAGCAGGTATTCTACTAGGGTTTATCTTGATTTACTAAAATGTTGATTCTCAATGTTCGAAACAATTTGAGACACACTTATGAATTCTGGTAATTTCCTTTTCCTGATGTCAACGTGCTGTTGATTTAGTATCTAGAGCACCTATCATTAAAAAAAAAAAAAAAAAAAAAAAAATAAATAAATAAATAGAAGATAAAAAACAAAGAATTTTTTGTTGTTAAAATAGAGTGCATCAATACTCAATAGCGTGGATTGACTAATCCAAATCACTAAAATTGTAGCTATATCATGAATATCTTGTTTTTCATGTAAAAATAAATAAATCAAAGCATGTAGCATGTTTCTCTCTAGGATGTCAATTTTTCCCATCATCCAGGTAACCTGTCTTGTGCTGCCACTTCCCCATTGGGACGGATCTTGGAGGTTCTGAGTCAGGTAGGAGCAGGTATAAAAAAATAAAGAATGAGAACTCAATGCAGGTTTATGAACTAATTGCTTCCATCTGTCACAGACCAATTGTATTATAAAGTTCTCATTCTTTATAAAAAAAAATAAAGAATGAGAACTCAATGCAGGTTCAGGAACTAATTGCTTCCATCTGTCACAGACCAATAGTATTAGAATATCTCAAAAAAATTAGTCCTGCTTTGCTTAAGAGTGAAAATGTAACTCTCCTAATCCATTATCACAGGCATGATATTTACTTATGATGACAACATTTCACATGAACAGAGCCTTTTGGTGTCTTAGTGCCATGTGACTCTGATTACTATAATTTACTATTATTGTGTGGTTGTTTTTCATGCTAGGGAAGCATAACATATGTACAGCCAACCTTTTGGTGTCTCACATCATTATTTTTACTAAAATATTCAAAAAAAGTAAAATTTAATCGGATACTTGTCCCATCTCAAAAATTAAAAAAAAAAAATGCGTTGCACCATGCCCTGTACTGCATTGGGTTTAGAAATTTCACTCCCTGGGATGGATTTAGGAAATGGTGTGACTTTGTAAATGCTGTCCCATTGACAACCCTAATTATCTCTCCTGTAGTACTGCTTAACTGACATCAAAGGTTATAATTTGAAAATTTAGTCTAATTACACTCAAGGGTTACCAGTCCACAATTAGATTATTTTCAGCTATCCCTATCAGTCTAGATTTGTCCAACAAAACACTCTAAATTCCTATTCTTTGGGGCATTTGGGCTCGACCAAACCTTTTAAGTTCGATTTCTCCAAGGCACTTTGATGGTAGAAGAGGTAATTAGGATTTTAATTGAACGAATCCATAAAATTGTATGTGGACAGATAACATTGTACTAGAACATGTCTGATATGTTGTGCCCAGTTTGTTGGTAAGTTGTTGGTTGTGATTTCTTTGGTTTCTGGAAAGGCATTGAAGTTAATATCATCTTTGCAGTAGTTGAGAATGTTGGTTTTTATAATATAGTAGTCAGAAGTTTACGTGATTATGTTTCCAGGAGAATCGGGTTATTATTTAGCTAAATTTGTGCTCTACTGAGTACTGACTCCGTGTAAAGTTTCAGTATTATGTTTTCTACACGCAGATTCACTTTTATAGAGCATGTAAGAATGTCCATGGATATTGAATGGGTCTATTGTGATTTACATAGTATTTTAGAACGGCAACTCATCACTGGTGAATGACTTGCTCAAGAAAGGGATCATTGCAAAATTGGCATCCTTCATCTCATGTCAATCTGAATGATTGATCTGTGTTTTTTTGGATGTTAGATAAAGGAAGATTCATGAACCCAAAGCCTCTCAGTAAATCCTCACGTCACTCAATTGAACGAAACTTAGTTTTTGAAAATCTAACTAATCTGTTACCCTCAATTGTATTGAATAGATGACTCCCAGTTTTTAAGTGACGTCATTCTTAATAATTGATTCATTTATTTCCATGGGACAGCCAAAACAAGGCCAATACAGAAAAATATCTTGGTTGCCTGATGTTGGTTGTTATTTTGATTCACAGAACTACAGAAGCTTGGCAACTACACAGCATTGGAGTCGGGGAATGTCTCTGTTTCGAAGGCTCGTGCTATTCCTTCCAAATATGCATCAACCAGCAGAATAGTGATTGAGACTAGCTATAAGCAGCAACTGCAGGGTAAGAAGTGCTTATTCAAGCGGAAAGGAGTTGAGAAGATCACTGGCATCTATGCTGATTGGATTGATGATATGCCTCTTCTGCATAGCTCATTGGGCAGAGTGGGCAGCTGAATTTGAATTTGATTTGCGCCAAAAGTCAAAATTTTATGTTACACTGAGCTACAGATAGGAATCCGTTTTGTTTTTCGTTCAGTAATCCCGGGGTTTGACAATTAGAAGGCTTGTTTGCCTAGTCACCTCAGGGTTTCACAATTAGGCTAATATGAGATTTTTTTTGATCTATAGGAACCTACCTCCTCAAAAACCAATACTGGAAAATCTTATGCTGCAGAAGAAGAGGATATAATCACTTTGTTTACTAATAGACCATCATGAATTTATGACTCATAAGACTTTCACTGACTGTTCATTATGTTACATAGTGGAGTTTGTTATGTTCACATCTGTCTAAATCTATACTTAAGCAAGAAGACACATCCTTCTTACCTTTATACAGTTCATACAGCTCACAATTTTTTTTTTGGCAGTCTCCATTTTGCTACAGCACTTAGCAATGGTGGTGGTTAGTATTGGTCTCTAGGTACCATTGGCCAGTGATATCTCTATGTAGGCAATGGAAAAAACTCTTTTTTGATCCATTTGTTTTTTTGCCGATCGTTGTTAATGCTGATTCTCACACGCACACACGATATTTGGTTAAATTCCCACAAGCAAGGCATCTCATGGTATTTCATTTAGGTTGTGTGATCTCGAATCCTCCAATTGAATACTGCCTTCACTAACAATTTTGATCCGAAGGTGTTAAATGACGATTATACTTACTGTACTTTTATTATTATTTATTATTACAACTTCTGAACAAAAGTACATTTTCAAAATTTTAAACATGACATCAACCGATAATGATAACTAATTTAATGTTAGGGGAAGTCAGATCAGAACTATATGGGAGGTCACATTATTTTTGAAATTAACGGAGAGGCATTCAACAGAAGAGAGGTCAGTCTAATTTACCCTAGCCTTGTTGGGATTTTTTTTTTACCCTACCCTAATACACTTCATAGATAATCGTAAAGATTTTGTTCCAATACTCATATTCAATATATTTGTCAGGCTTCTGGTTTTATCTGAATTTTCCGAAAATAGATTATCCCTTTATAGACTTTAAATGCTTTAATAAAACAATTACTAAGCTGGTTACATACCCAAAACAAAAAAAAAGGGGGAACTTATCCAAAAAAAAAAAAAAACCGGGGGGGGGGGGGGGGTGAAGGGATCCACACAACGTTTTGTAGATTCTTACATTTATAGCTGTATACCACTGAAATAGAATTATATATATATATATATATATATATATATAAACAAGTATTCCTATGATATAAAAATATGCCCAAATCTTATCCCTCCTTTTCTGTCCCATCTATAAAACACAACATTAGAATCAGAAAAATGCAAGCATACATTCGGTAGAACTTTAAATGTATTGAGACTAACCAATTCCAAATTCTGCCCTAGAATTCCATTTCCAACCATAGATCAGAACATCTGATCTCCAGCTTTTAACTGCTTTTGCCAATGCAAAGCAGTATTCATGTGGTCCTCATCAAGTTTAGTTTGTGGAGCTCCAGATATCGTAAGCCCTCCCGAACAAAAAATGAGCCCTGCATTGCTCATTATTTTGCATGACAAGTATCAACCGATGTTTTCTTAGGGAAAGGAAGACAGTGTGTAAAAGCAGCAGTATCTTACCATATTGCTCCGTCTCCTGTTCACGGGAATGCAACGACTGTAACAAGATAAAGCTACCGAACTCCTCAACATTCCTCAGATTAACAAGCCTAGGGTTTACCCTATCACAGATACCCTATCACAGATCCTTTTGGTTCCATTAGTGTAAAGAGAGGTTTACGATGTTCAGTAACATTTAAGTGTGTGTGTGTGTGTGTGTGTGTGTGTGTGTGCTTTGGGAGGGGGGGGGGGGGGGGGGGGCACTATGTGTTAAAATCATATAGTAATAAAAATAATTATACCATACTTAACAAGTGCAGCAATAATAATAATAATAGTAAAAACAGAATGAAACAACAAATTTCTTTCTGAATTGTTCATGTGATAAATAAATGAGCTTTCATTACAATCTTCAAATCAGTTCTTTTTACACGATAAAACAGAACCAGTTTCAACCCAAATTGCCCTACCATGATAACTAAATTGGTAAACTGAAACATTGCATCAATGATAAGAATTTTAACTTAAAAAATCACAATATTAACAAGATTTTGTATATAATACCAATAGAGATGCACAAAAAACCAGCATCCTTAAGTTCTAGGCATTGTTTATGTACTTCTTTCAGCAGATTGAGCCCACTTGATAGTTGATCTAGCCAACGCATCAATAGGGTCAATACATTTTTTGAGAAGAGGATCATCGCGTGGCAAAAGATCCCGCATTTCATCAGACGCAAGGATGACAGTGTTAACAGCCCTTACCAGAAGAACTTGTAGTGCAATTATCAACAGATTCCTTGCCCCTTCTATATCCTTTCTGCGTAAAGCTTCAATTGCAGGATTTACTGTATGTTCCATGGTTGCTTTATCCGGCAGCACAACCTCAAAACCCTTCATACACAGAATATGGGGGGAGCAGTTCATAAGAAATTCACTAGCAAAGGAAATGAGGAATCAAAAAGATTTTACTCATGACTTGGTGAAGAAAAAATCAAACATAAGGTATAATTTTACATCTGAATTTGGCAAATATACATTGCATACATGGATGTAAATAAGTAAGGACGAAGTAATGATAGAAAGGCATTTCAAATGCTTCCTTTTACAAATCTTTCTAAGCTTCCCCATCAAGTCCGCCATGAGTTCTATACGAATACATCCATAAATTAGGGCACTAATTGTATGAGTACGGTGTTTAACACTTTAGACATGTGTGAACATTTGATAAAGCATTCCTAATAATTTTAAAATGACCATTCAAGCTGATACCAGTAATTGTCAAACCATTCCTGGACAACTTGTCATGATAAGCAAAATCCAAGATCCTTTTCCTTTTCTTTTTTCACTTTTTACAGATTTCTAGAATTTAGGTTGAATCTATCAATAATATTTTATCTTAACTGAAAATTATGACTCTTGAAAGAATGAATTAGCAAAGCATAATTCATGTAAACCACCCTTGTTGGGACAAGGCATCTTTAATTTGAATATATTATCATAAATATAGTTTCAGGATAACAATATACTAATGTCCCACTTAGGAAAAAAAGAGAATATACTAAGCGCCCTTGATGTATGAAAGCGACAGTGACTTCCGTTCAGAAATAAAAAGACAAATAAGTATGTGATGTTTTCTTCTTCCTTTCTAAACAACACACTTTGCCCTTCATGCCTAATTCTCCGTTCACAATCAACTGGAAGCAGATGGCTGAAATCAAGTGATCCCTCTGCCTGTGCATATAGTGCAAGGATAAAAAGTGAACTTATTTAGTTTCTAGATGACTCTCTAATTGTAATTTTTGTTAATTCTTAATTTCCACTTTTACCCTATAATTATTTAAGTTCAATAACTCTGAACAGAAGGAGATTAATGCCCTCAACCTGGTTTTGTATTATCATGCCCAACAGATGATATATGTTACTGATGAATTCATTTGCTCCACCCATTCCAACTTTGCGATATACTGAGGTGTGCACTTTTTAAGATCTATGTGTGACATATATTCAATTCTAATTCTGAAAGAAGGTATAAAATGACCCCTTCTTTATCTAAATTGTGCAAATGGTGTTTTATTTATTTGAAAGTACATTCTATCAGGCAAGACAAACAAAAACAGTATGAAATGAGAAGTGTCAATTATCTGTCCACTACTATTCCCTGACAGGCTCACACCAAAGAACTGAGGCTGGTGGTCGGTGGTCCAGCTTAGCGAGGCAGCACAGCACCCAAGCAACCAACTATGGAAACCTCGACAATGATGAACCTTACTTTTTCTTTCTAAGTAGTATAAATCAAATTCTTCAATGACTTACTAAAAAATAATCACTTCCTATGAAATTTGTGATTTAGATTTTTGATATCTACCTTAAATGAAATGAGATTTCAAGGTTCATAAAAACATTGTGCAGAATTATAATTAATATAACCAACAGATCAGTGGCCTAGCGGTACCAAGCTCCTACTTCTCAAAGAGAGGTCAGGGGTTCGAGCCTCAGTGGAGGAATGTGTGTGTAACCAACTAGGAAAAAAAAAAAAAAAAAGAAAGTATAATTAATATATACTAGTCTTATGCAGAAAAAAAGGATAGCTAGAAGATTAACAACCAATAACTAGTTGATTCTTTTCTACTAAGGTGCTTGGACATTGCCCATGAAATGAATTATCTGATTGGATTTTACATAGCAATAAATTAAATTCATTTTCTCCTAGTATTGGAAAAATTACTATTGTACTAGATAACATTATCTTTTTGGATACAAGATATATCATTTCTACGATCTTTTAAAATCATCCTCATAATCAGCCACTCAACATTACAGGCAGAAGTTCTAAAATTGTTTTATACTGACTGCATTTGGAATGACAAATTTTGTGTTTATATTGTTTGTATCTATTCAATTTATACAGTAACAATAACAAAAACAATAATAAAAATGAAGTGAACTAATCCTCTTTCAGAATGACACTAAACATCTATTAATATAGGCAATGAGCTCAGTATAACTATTGAGAGTTCAATAAACTAAAGTTTTAGTAAATTATTTCATATAAAATAAACAAAGCAAAGATAATTATTTACAGGACATGATTATGGCAAATCAAGATATCATGATAATGACAATTGAATCTGCTCATTTTGCTTTCCACAACATTTGAATGCAAAACTATAATTATAATGTTGCTTGGTACAATGGTAGAAGTTGTGAGGACAAGGATTCGAGTCCGAGAAGAAACTTTATGCCATTTATAGATCCCTAAATCAATAGTTCAAGAAACAAAGTTCAATTCAGATACAAGTGGTATATAAATCTCAATTGAAGGAACTCATTCCTGCAGCACAATGAAACATGACCAGGTGCAACAGCTGAGCAAAACAAAGCGGACTAAAGTAACATGACCAATTATATGCAATTTGACCAAGTCAAGGGGAATTTTATGCAAAAGAACAATAGTAAAATGAAAGCGGACTATAAATCTAATTCCTCTAGATCTCCTCATGGAGGATGGTAATTGGAAACTACCAAGAACACATGTGACTGTTTTTCCAGTAAAACGAAAATGGACACAAGCGACAGATTGATTACCTCAATCTTCAGTTTCTCCTGATAAAACCCGGCTGTCAAAGTCGCATTGTCACCAAGAACCCCAATCCGCAGAGGACTTCCAGCTTCAAGCGGCCTCAATTTTGCTGCCTTGAGCTCCCTGGCAACACATTCACCCATATGAAGGAAAGGAACAGAACATCCCCTGGAAACTTCATCATGCCATGAATGAGATACATGACAAGGCATTACTATGCAGCGAGCTCCGGATTGCTCGAGAAAAACCCTTTTACACCTGAGATGCTCCTGAATTGAAGTGTGATCCATTTGGGAATATTCATTTTTATTCTTAAGGTTAAGGGACGGGAAAAAATTTCTCTCATGCGATAAAAGCTCCTTGTTTAAAACAGGATCGGAGCAAAGAACAAAGGGTAGGCAGTCTTCTCCGTCTTTTGAACTCCACCTGACCAATTTGTTCAAGAAATTCAAAGTAGAATCTATAGATACACCTCCAAGAATCCCCACTGTATTAGCTTGACTGAGCAAGGAACCACTAAAATAATTGCTTGTTGAACCTGTACTTATACCGGAACTGTTCTTGGAGTCAAGTAAATTACCACTATCATTAGTTTGAAGCAGAATTGACAACGGAAGTACCGGATTTGTCCTTGTTTTATACTGGGTTCTGTGCTTATTCATATAACCAAATGTATGACAAGGGTAATTAAGTGTGTGGAAAGACATTGCCATTCCTTGATCTTATCAGTTACTATAATATCATGCACCAACAACACAAACCACCACTTAAAGCTAAGAGACTTTGCATTTGCTTCTCAGTACACTGACAACACAAAGACTTCCTTCAAATTAGCAATATCTCAAATCTTGACACCACAACCCCACTCTGAAAATTTATGAAAAAGTTCATATTTCACCAGTAAAAAACCCTGGTATAGAAATTGCTAATTTATGGCTTCCACAATCAAAACCCACCTAAAAATTAGACAAAAAAAAAAAAAAAAAAAAAAATTCAATTATTCAGCCTTAGATATCCATAATAAGAAATCATCAGAAAACAAAAAAAACCCACATCTAAAAGAAGAGAATAGTGCAATTTTTTTCTCTGAAATTCAACTCCCACAAAAGCAAAACCTATTCTAATCAAGCACAACATTTGTGTGTTTCCAAAATTCAGGCCCAAAAACAAAAACCCCCCAAAACCCAGAAATCTTTAGAATTGAATCAGCAAACAATAGGCACAAAAATCAAAATTGATGACGGAAAGTGGGATTGAATAAATTAAGCAAGTAAAAAGGGAGGGAGGGAGGGATTTTGTGTGCACCAATGATTCAGAGATGATGATCCATGACATAGTGGAAGGAAGGAAGGAAAGGAATCTTTGCGCTTTGTATTCCAATCTCATGTGTTCCCACTAGGTAAAGTAAGCTTATTATATTCAGCAAAAATGAGAGAGACAGTGACTAAAAAACAAAGATCAATTAACACACGTCTTTGTTACCTTGTGCAATTCCTTCCAACATGGTGCATGGGATTGAGAGAGTTGGGTAGTTCAGTCTTCGACGTGTCCCACAAATCTGCCGTTATCACGTATTACTACCTTATTCCTATCTAATCAATCTTAACCCAATTTATGCTTTAAATACGAGACCATCATTGTTGCAGAGAACTTCTTCGTATTAGGTCACTCAGTGTCGGCATCACATGTGCAAACCTCTTCTTGAGAACATGGGTTCAGTACTATTAAGTGGACTTCGATTAAACTATTAAATACTACTAGTACTAAATTGAGAATGCAAAAAATATTATATCCAAAATGCTTTTTTTAATTTAACGATGTTGTAGTAGTTCATCTAATTGAATTAGGGTCGTATTTGAATCACTGTTGTTTAAAAGGGACGCTCGTTTTTGGAACAAGAATGTTAAATGGAAAAATTACATATAAATGGAGTCAAAGTTATATATTTACTTAAAGGCTGAGTCAAAGTTCCATATTTCTCTTGCTGAGGTGGCACATGGTTTTTTACTATTTAGAAATTGTGGTGCCTAAAATATCCTTCCGCGAATGTACTACTTTTTCTTCGAAGGTACTACTTTTTTGAACTGAAGGTACTACTTTTTGGCGTCCAGGTACCATGTTTTATAAACACCTGCGAAGGTACTACTTTTTTGAACTGAAGGTACTACTTTTTTGTTAGGGAAGGGCATTTTAGGCACCACAATTTTTTAAACAGTAAAAAATCATGTGCCACCTCAGCAATCCATTTTAGAGAAATATGGAACTTTGACTCCATTTATATATAATTTTCCCATGTTAAATTCAAAATGCAATAACATTATAATATTTAATAATTTAATGGTGTTGCAGTGATGTAATATGTTGAATTAGGATTGTATTTTTGAATAAATATATTGGACCTAGTGTTTATATGTAGTTTGCTTGTTACATAAATAGTATCTTATTCGCACAAGTTGCAATGATGATCAGCGCATTGAATGCTAACTTTTGAGCTCATTTTTCCTATTCTGATTCAAGGGTTCTGCATTAAAATGCTACCAAGATTTTAAATAAAGCCATCAATTCCAAGGACGTCCAAACAGGCCCTAAATGAACATGGCTTTCACAGATTCTAAATACCGCAATTTCATAGGAGGCAGACCACTTTCTACCCTTCTAATCTTTAAGCATATATATAATGGTTCACTTAGAACTTGAATTTACAGAAGAAATGGTGGATACATTTTAACAACACACAAACAATGTCATATACTGCCTATTTTGCAATATACAAAAGTTTTTGAGTGCAATATTTCAACTTCTTCTATACTACAAAATTGTTCAAATCCTGAGAAATATGGGAAGCAACAAAGAAAAGAAATAAGTAACAGATTTGAAACAAAGTTGTATTTTTCAACCGCCTGAACTCATTTATGTTTTACTTTTGTGCACTTCCTCAGCGGTTTAGGAATTCGCTTAGCCTTAAAACACCGGATTATCGTTCTCACATCCCTTGTTATAGAAAAGAAGGCAGAAACTACAGCAATGGTCATTGTTGGGTAGATATGGACAGCTTTGGTGTCAACTCTGGTTGCATATTTTCCAAGAAATACTTCCTTTGCAAGGCCCCATATGATGAGAAGTATCCCAAACAGGCTCATCCTTCCAGATCTTACCAGCCCTAGAATCGCTCCCGCCACAGAGAAGTAGCTTCCAACAAGAACCTGATGACCCAAACAAAGTGTGGGATGAGAAGAAAGAACAAATTAACAAAAACAAGGTACTATTCTAGTAAATAGAAATTGGACCATGCCATTATTGCCATTGGCATCCAAAGTAGCTCTTTGTTCTCTTTCATTAGGTTTTGCATCATAAACACATTCATTTTCTTACACTGAATCACACACATCATCGTCATCCTTGCCTTTATCCCATATGAATGGGGTCGGCCACATAAATTCTCTTTTCCCATTTTTTCCTATTATATATCATGTCTTCTCTTAAATTTAAGTTTTTTAATTACTTTATCCCACGTAAGCTTTGGTCGGCCTCTTTGTCCCTTGCTTTCTACACAAATAATGAATCACACAAATATAAGTTGCACAACACGGGTTTCTTTAATATACAAACCTCTAGGCGTTGGAGATCAGTTGTGACAGGAAAATCCTTGACAATTTTCAAATCATGGATATTTAGCAGGTTGTTATAGCTTGGAATGGCCTTGTTCTTGATCATAGCATTGGCAATGACACTTGGGTAGAGAAGGGTCTTCACTACAACTGCAGGGAAGACTTCACTTGCTATCAGTTGAGCAGATGTCACCTCTGTTGGTGTTGTACATATTCCAATTCTACATGGGACCCTGTTAAAGCAAGGTGAATTAGATATAAGCTGTTGAAAACGACAATCTAGGCCTTTTCTTTTTATTGCTTCTTGAAGCTGTATGATAATTGATAAATCAAAAGGATCACATGACACATCTGTTAATAAAATTTAATACTTCCTCCATTCCTAAACTTTGCAAGGGGACATGAATGCCTCGTCGTTTTTGAAATTCCAGAACTGCTTGTTTGAAGTTTAAAATTCTCATTGGTATTTTGCAAAAGTAATCAAAAGTTAAAAAATTTGAAAATAATATACATTGAGGTTTAGAATGACAGATGAAGTTTTTGACACCAAAATATGAACAGAGGGACAAGTGTTTTGGGACGGAGAGTGTACTGCTTCATTAATTCAATTTTATATGATAATAAAGCTGTATAAATAGTTCTTCACTAACAGAAGAATACTTACATGCCCAAGATTGAAGATGAGACTCGTGGAACAGCTAATAAAATTATAAAAGATTCCAAAATCTTGAAAATGACAACTACAAATTTCCAATCTTTGGGAATGGAAAGTCATACATTTCAAGTTGTCTAATTTCTAGATTTTCGACTGCTAAAGTTTGTAATTCAGTGGCATCTCCTTTTCTCTCTCAAAGTGAAAGGCAGCAAAATGAATGAATGATTTAACAATTGCAAGGCAAAAGACAAACAAAAAAGAAAAACAGAACATGCCCTTATAATTTCTAAATCAATAATAAACTATAATAAATGACTATAAATTAAATAATGCCCACATTAACATTAATTAAATTAAATAATGCCCACAGAAACATTAATTCCCATTAGTAGTGGAGCAACATTAATACTACTTGGGGCTTTTAATTACATTTGCAGGGTCAATACCAAACGCTACACATCTGTAGGCTCATTAAAAAATTAGAAGAAGAAACCAAATATTTAGTTCTTGAACTTTTTTTGCTTCTACTCGTACTCTTTTCTTTTGAAATCACTTTTGGAAAACATATGATAAAATAGATGAAACTTCACAAAAATAAAATAAATAACTAATAAAAACCATAGAAATTAGATCCCTGAAAATTAAGAAAATATGGGGCTTGTTTTTTGGAAAGAGTAAGGTGTAGACAATATGAACATCTATAGATCTACATAATTGGATTAAATATTTGAAATATAAAAGCAATCCCAGATTGAATAACAAAACAAATCGCAAGAAAGAGACAGCCAAGAAAGAGAAATCACATTGTATCCAATGAACAAGAAGCTAAAAAAGAAAAAGTGAATTAGATATTGAACCAAGAAAGAGAAAACCAAATACTACTGGAGAAAGAAATGCAATAATACCTGAAAAGTGGAACTTGGAAGATGATGATAATGAAATATATGAAAGAGGCAATGCGTGATACGATGCTTGCATTTTTCTTTGAAGAGGCCATGGTTGGGCAGCTGAGCCTGCGAGACTTCTGTTGGGTCCCACAATGGAATTACAGTATCTGGTACTGGGTTGTTATCACGGTACGCGTGTCAAGCAATCTGTATACCAAAAAGAAGGGTATCCTTATAAAATAAAAAAAAAATAAAAAAAAGAAGCATTTCCGGTACAAAGCTACGTAAAGCAAGGACGAGAGTTGCAGAATTAAGTCATAAATAGTGAGAAGTTGAGTCAGAATGCGCGCAAAATGTAAGAGCGGGAGCACGCTCGGACCGTGAAAACAACACCAGTCAGAAAGAATTGTGTAACTTAAATCCTATGCATATAAAGTGTATAACTTTATCCATTCTAAAAAGTCTTAATATTTAATTTTGGGTCAAAAAAATGACATGAATGTTAAAAAGACTAAAGTATCCTAAATGTGAAATAACTATACTATCCCTCTTATATATATATATATATATATATATTATAGGATTGAGGGTAAAAATACTCTTATAATATGCATATAGAATATATAACCTTTTATATGTTATAAATTTTATTAACATTCAATTTTGATGCAAACAATGACCTAAATGCTGAAAAGACTAATTAAATGTGACGGTATATATATATATATATACACAAGAGACAAGGATATTTTTAAAATTTTATATCTTAAAAATGTCACATGCAATGTACATAAATAAATTTTAAACAAAACAATGACATCAAGCCTTTATTTGTCACATTTTTTCAAACTTAACAAAATTATATACTCAAAATAAAGGATAGAGGTATTACTTACCCAAAATGTAAATATTAGTAGTGTTTTTCTCACATTGCTCTTATAAGAGGGAAAAACAAATGTATTTTTGAAATTTTATATCTTAACAATAGTTTCAAGTCATTTTTTGTTTATTTTTAGAAATTTAACGAACTTATAAACACAACCTAAATTTTTATTTGCTCATTTTTTAAACTTAATAAGTTAATGGAATATTATTTATCCAAAATTAAAACTTCAATACGATGAGGTAAACTAAACTAGGTTTCAGTAGCAACAATTGGAAATAACAAATTGTTGTAGCTGTCAAATCCTTTATATTCACTTCAGAGAATGTATATATCGCCATTTCAATCCAGAAGTAAATGATATTAAACAAGTTTGTCACGGCAAGTCTTATGTGTCATAATCACTCAACAATCAATGAAACAGCCCGATTTAGATTCAATCCCTTTCGAGTTGTCAAATTTATATGTGGTCCGCTTGCCTAAATTTTGTTTTTATTTTATTGTTTCATTTAATCAAGTGTGAAAGCAATTTTTTAAATAAAACAAATTTCTTTCGCGAAATGGAACCCCCTTTTTTTTTTTTTTAATGGCAAGAAACTCACATTCAAGTTGCCCATATGTGGAGTTGCTTACAAATTCAAGTTAGATATGAATTTGAGTACTTCTTAAATAAACCATATTTAATATGAAATTTGACACGAATAAAGTATATTTTATTTTATTTTATTTTTAATATCTCTCGTGTTAAAATGTGAGTAAAAAATGAGCAAATAAAGAGCTTCTAATTCTCAAAATGTGATGCGTGCTAGTTATGTGACCAAAAAAACTGTTTAATACCAACACCTCCCTTTTAGACTTTCCAAACTACCCTTTATTCATTTCTCTCTCATTTCTATGTATAATATTTCAATTTCATTATTTTTCGCTCAATAAATACTCTATTTATATTTAAATATATTTCTCTCTCTACAATATATATATATATTCCCTTATTTGTTTTTTTTAAACTTATATTTTTCTCATTCTCTGTCTCTCAACCACCCTCTCCCACATGTATAAATTATAGTTCTTTAATACTAATAATAATAAACAATAAATTAATTAAATTTATCTTTCTTAAAAAATTCTACTTATATCCTAATGTGTTTTAGAAGTTATATGCATGTCCATGTGTAAGATGTTGTGTCGTCTGTATACATTAATATTTTTTTATAAAAATAATAAATTTTTCTAAAACATAAAAGTGATTTACATATTATGTTATTAATTTATTTTTTCATATTCACTTGATCAAATAATTAAATATTAATTTACCCAAAAAAAAGAATAAAATTAAATATAAAAAAAATGAATATATACACACCTAAATGTCTATACCTATCATATACTTTTTTAAGAATTAAATCTTTGGTCAAGCATTAAGGATTTGTCATTTGTATAAAAGAAAACAGTTTATTCCGTACAAAAAATATATAGTATTTTTATTTTTATTTATATTACTATTCAGTAATTATTCGTAGGAATATGATTTTGGCACTTGAATTTATATATATATATATATAATATTTTATTTGATTTTTCAAATAAAGATAATAATAAAAATTATTTATGTGAGGCTCGGTGGGCAAGAACAGGCCTGTGAGAGGCAAGGTTCTGGTGTGAGCCACGTGCTCACAATTCCTGCATTGCTTGAGGTGGGGGAAGAATGAAGTGTTATATGTAGGTTTATCATTCTTTTATGACATAACATATTTTTAAGTCGTGATAATCGTGAACTTATTAGAATTCCTGAATTAAGCGTTGCATGACTTTCTGAGAAGCGTTTGGCCGGGAGATATATATATATATATATATATATATATATATATAATTTATTAATTATTTATATTATATTTCTTTTAATTTACTCTCTAATTTTGAGCAAGTCAAAATAATTTCAACTTTTTACTCGTCTCTTTATTATTTTTGTAAAGAGAATTTTGAATGGTATTTTATATTTTAATCTATTTCACTTTATTTAACTGACAATAAATTCTTATTTACTCACTTTTCACATTGATGAAATTTAAACATAAAAAATATTATTTGAAACTAGGGAGATTTTTTTTTTTACTTCACCCCTAATTATACTATATGAGTGGAATATAGAATATGTCCACGAGATCCCATAAAACCTACTCATTGAGTATCCTCATTTTCTTGCAGAAATTATGATGTGCCACCTTTTTCTGCGGGACCTACGACTTTCATAGTCAGAGGTAACAGGCGTTAGCAGGATGACAGAGAGAGATGCAGAGGAGTGGGGCTGTTTTTGTTCACCTCTCTTGACCTTTGAGCTCTTCAAAGAACTAGTACTATCTCATACGTGTTAATAACATATAACAAACGAAAAAAAAAAGGTTCTACAAATTAACTAGAAATATCAAATAAAATATAAAGAAAAAGAGGTGGTACAGAGAGTTACTAAAAACAATTAATGCTCACATGTGGACGAGGTCTAGCTCATGTGAGTCACACATCCCTATGCGAAATACCAATCCAATAATTCACCTCCAATAATTGTCAATGCCACCAACACAACAGTTGATGCATATATGTGTGTGTATATATATTTCCATAGCCCCTTGGTGCAAAAACCTTTTACCTCTAAACCTTCTATGTTCTCTAATATGTGGAGCAACATCCCCTCTGATCTCCTAGCAAATGTCTTCTCCTTCCTCCCGCCAGACTCTTTAGCACGTGCCAGGTCAGTTTGCCGCTTTTGGCACACGTGTGCCGACATTTATACCTCATACCCAGCCCCACCGGGGAGGCGGCGCCACCCAGCTTGGTTCATAGCCCTGCCCACGCGCAGCCGTGGACTCTTTTGCTATGCTTACAATCCGATCAGCGACAATTGGCACGTGCTCTCTCTCGAATTTGTTCCTGGCACGGTCCGGCCTATTGCTCAAATTGCTGGCCTCGTGCTCTTTAGACCCACAAGCACCACAGCCCTCCAATTAGCCATATGCAACCCTTTTACTAGGCAATACAGGCCCCTCCCAATCCTAAATATCACAAGGACCAATCCTGTTGTGGGCGTGATTGAGTTGGACCCGGCCCAACATGGTCCAATTCCTTACTTTAGGGTCTATGTGGCCGGAGGGACGTCTGAAGCGCCAAGTGGAGGAGCATCATACGAGCCCACATTGGAAATGTACGATTCGCAGCATGACACGTGGCAAATGATCGGATCCATGCCGGTGGAGTTCGCGGTGAGGCTAACGGTCTGGACCCCCAATGAGAGTGTGTACTCCAATGGGGTCCTATATTGGGTGACCTCGGCCCGGGCCTACACCGTAATGGGCTTTGAGATTGGGACAAACAAGTGGACCGAAGTGAGCGTGCCATTGGCGGACCTGCTCGAGTTTGCCACGTTGGTACTGAGAAATGGGAAGTTGACACTTGTCGGTGGCACGAGTGGTAGAGATGCGTGCATATGGCAGCTTGGTGATGGTGACACTTGGAGGTTAATTGACAAGGTGCCAGTTGAATTAGGGTTGAGATTTTTATGTGGGAAGGGGAGCTGGGGTAACACAAAATGTGTGGGTATTGATGGGGTAGTGTGTTTGTATAGAGTCCTTGGGTCAGGAATGATTCTTTGGAGAGAAGCAGTTGATAAAGGCAAGTGGGAATGGTTTTGGGTTGAAGGGTGTTTTTCCATGAAAGGCAAACAAGTTCAAAGTTTTCCAATCAAAGGAGTGCTTCTTCACCCAAATCTCTCCCCTTCATGTATTCTTAATTAATGCCACAAAGTTTCACTTGTTTTCCAACTCCATGCTATGAAAATTACATTTATGGACATGCCAGCCACAACAAATTTGAACAATCAATTAAGTTGATTATTGGAGCATCAAACAATAATTGAGATACATATCATCCAATGTTACAAAATATTCAAGATTGGATATTCCCACTTTTTTCACTTCCTGAGAGGAAGTGTGAATCAACAATTACATTTTCTTCTTACATTACAAATTATTAAATTATATGGATGAACAAGAACAACAATTTAGACAGTGAAAAAACAGTTGAGTGAGGCCAATACTGTTAGTGTTGCTATGTCAATCATATTGGACCATCAGTATGTTGTTTAACAATAATTCAGTTAGCAGTGAGCTCCTCCATCAAGCCCTAATGATGATGGGCAAATGAAAATATTAGAATTATTCAACAGATACATATAGTGTGAATTGAACATAAAAGTTAAAGATTTACTACCACCTGAGAGATGTATGGCTCGGCATCAGTTCGCCGGAGAAAGAGAATCGCATAGCGAGTAAGTACGGCATTCTGATCACTGAGCGCCACATGACCAATATCATCAAGGACTCTCACCTTGATATAGGGATCTTTGGGTGGCACCATATCCTTGCAAATGCACACGGAGACTTGACAATTTAGTTGTTTGGTCAAAAATACCAAATCATGCATAATAGTTGAGAATTTTGATATGATCCAGATTTATTTAACCAGGTTTTACAATACATGAAGTAAAAATGATTACCCAGTTCAATCCTGATATATCAAATGTGATAGGAAGGGGGTGACTGTTACCATATTCGAGTTCATTTTCTCAATGCTTGGTGGACTAAGCTTTTACCACCGCACAAAGCAATGGCAACCTATTCCATTATACTAACTAATGCACAAAATACATGTTCATATACCTAATAACACATAGTTAGCAATTTTCAACTTATTCTGAATACTTCTTCAATGGAAACACATGCTTGTTATTTAATCTAACACGCATTGGTTTACCAATGGGCCAATGGTATAACACCCTACCATCAAAGAGGAGGGGAAGGTTTCGAGCCCTGGCATGGGCAATGTGTGTGAATACTTTACCTAATAAAAAATAAATAAACATCCATTGGTTTCCATGGCCCATCCCCTCTCCCAATTGAATTTTTTCCACTTGATTAAAACCTCACAATTCCAAATTCCTAAACTAATGAAATTTGCAAATGTCAAAAATACAATGCATTCAGGAACTATCCTGTCTCACATATATTCACAAGCAAGAGTAGAGTGACTACCTGAACTGTTCCTTTTAAAAAGAACAGCAAATAGGGGGAAAATTAAAAACCATGTCAACCTTGTGAAAGGCTGACGTTCAGATGTAAACCTTCTAGCAAAGTTGAATAACGTGGAAGAGAGTGAAAAAGACAATTACCAAGGCCAGATCAAGATCCATTTCTGATCCATATGATTTTATTGTTCCAGAATGATTCTTGGAATATTCTTTTTCTGAGCTGCTGAGCTTCTCTTGAATTTCTTCAGGAAGTGGAGGTTCAATTGTCCATCCCAAACTTCGGATAACTTCTGCTCTATTAGACCTAATACCTCAAAGAAAGAGCCATATAAACTGATTTAAGATGATGTTTCCAGACAAAAGTACAAGCTATGAAATTTACTCAAGGAAACAATAATTTAGTAGGTGGATAGATAATTACACATAAGCCATAAGGCAGCGCTTATTGCGGACTAAAGAAAGGTGATGGATGAGTGCCCCAAAGTGGTCTGCATTTCTAGCTGTTTGGTTGTCTGATCCCCCTTCTTGAACTTTGCTATCATTATATCAAGTTAATAAGTCACGAAAGAAGTGATAACATTCAATGAAGCCTGGCAATTATAACCTATGTTACATGGACTCTTGAAGTAGGTGAAGTATCCGTGTCGGACACACATTACACGGACATGGGTATGGGATATGCGTAACACTTTTGGTTGGACATGCACCTATAAAGTATATCTTATAATTCAATGTTATTTTATTATTGTTTCAAATTGAGTGGAACGCTGATATTGGACATCATGCTAAATAAAGACATTATTTTGGTCTAAAAAATAGAATAAAAATATTAAATAGTATGAATATTTAGTAGTGTCCCTGTGTCCTTTTGTCTTCGGATTTGAATTTTGATACATCTGACGCTTGGATATGGACCCACACCCGACACACGTACCCAAGTCCATGTAACATAGATTATAACCTCTATACATATACACGCATACTTACATAAATACATATATACACAGACCCAGGATAGAAATAATGGCAAACTAAACTTCTATACCACCAACCCCAGGCAATTAGGCATCGTGAGTTGGGTAACACTCAAGTCATGCTAATATTTTGTTAGACACTGTTTACCTTCAGAGAAAATGAAAAGAAAGAACAAAATATTGGACTTAGTATTTATACAGGAAAGTCTTTGCCTGATCATTCAGGAGTGAAAAAAAAAAAATTCAACCAATCAAGTATGGGTTTCACAACAAATGCACGAGGCTACATGTCTTAAGAAAATATGTAATAAAACGGCAATGCTTCATAGATTGAACCAATTACCATGTTTGGCATTGCACTATCTGGCATTAGTGAATGGTCAAAACTGAACCATAAGTGACTGCACAAAATTAAATCATTACTGTCTTTTCATGTGCCTCATGATTTTTGCCTTCTTGGTAGGGACTTCCCAAGTTTAGCATTGTGGCAAAGGTAACATATATGAAGAGAGCCATTAAGGGTCATACCTAGTGCTTCGTTGGGAAAGGTACACAAGAAATACACGTAATCTTTGGCATTATTTGCACAAGGTAGATGCTCTCAAAATTCAATCCTACAATCTCACATTTGATATAGCCCAAGAGAGATTAGATTGTCAAGTTAATGCTATAAAAATAGTACCTCAGTTGGGGTAATGTCACTGCTAGAAGCTAAAACATCAATCTTACTCAAAAGTATTTCCCAAAAGGTATGAAAATGGCAATTTTTTTTTCCCCCCAGAAAATGGCAGTTTAACAGCTGGGCTTGTTTATGCAAATTTTGGTATTGTAGTTCTCATGCTTGATAATTATTTTTATGGGGTTTTAAATTGAAGACTTCTGTAAAGGGCCTAGCTAGTATTTATTTTATATATATAAAGAAAAACAAAGAACAGCCAAGGCTTAGGAAGCATACAGCAAATAACAACAAAGAGGTTACCTCAGCAGGGCTTGCAGCTGAAGGAAATGAAAATTACATTCTTCAATTGCTTGAGCAAACAGGTTGGTCTACAAGAGCAGAGAATCTAAAATCAAATAACAAGATTTGATGCACCTCAACAATGATAGACAAAAGCTTAACTACCCAAGTTCAATAATCATGTGCTTTCTATTTGTCTCTACAATTTAATGAGCACAATTTGATGCGGTTTCTCTCTTAACGACACTAAAATATTCTATTCTGTACAAAAATCGAAGAAAATAAACAAACCCACCAGATGTGTTTCTGGGTGATGCACTGTGGAAGGAAGACATTCTATCATGTTCAACCACCTCATCATTCTCATTACCCACAAATAAATTCAGATAAACCAATAAAATAAAAATAAAAATAACCAACAATGCAGGGTAAGCTAATATCACTATATCAAACTGTAACAGGCGGACGACTAACATTGAAAGCAGCCAGTTGCCCAGGTTCACTGCTCGAAAGTTCTTTTACCAACTCACACGCCTTCTTCCCATACATCTCCTAAAAGGTCGCCTTTCTTAGACAGCTGCAATCACATAAAACAAACAGATGAACCACAATAATACACAATATTTAAAAAATAACAAAAAGCACATACAGATGCATAATGTAAGCATTATTCAGGACTCCTTAGATTGGGAACTGTATATTGCAAAGGAGCATGGATCTGACAAAATTGCAAACAAAGAAGAAGAAAATGTTAAGATGTCAATGCAAATAACTAGATCAGAAAGTGATTTTAAAGGGTGACTGAGAAAGTGGAAAAAACTGGGAGAACAGAAACTAATATCTTATGCTGGTCAATCGGGAGTTTTGGCAGGTTCTGCATGATGGGAAATGCAGAACCTGATAAATATTGTACGCCTTAGCCCAACTTCGCAGATCCAACTTCCCGAAGGTGGTGATTTGAGGGCTTGTTCCCGACCCGAGTTTTTTGGGGGTAATTTTTGTATATTTCGCGCTCATTATGTTGCCCTAGTGTGAGGATATTTATTCATTTCGAACTCTGTATTTGGTGTCGTTTTCTCACATAATGAAATCCCTGCAACCCGGTGGACGTAATGCTAAATTTTGGGGTGAACCACGTAAAATCTGTGTTATTGCTTGTGTGTTTGATCTGTGTTCTGTTAATTTTTGCAACACCGCGAAAGTGTCAAAAATTAATCCCAAAAAGTGACAATGAAACTAGTACTATTGGCCCATTGGGTGTTGTCTTTTAATTTTTGTAATTTGCTTTGTCCCGAAGTAGAGTGAAAGTTTATCTCAGTAGGAAGACCCAGAGGGGGGGTGAGTAGGTCTAGTTTGCTTGTTTGATTGATTTTAAATTATTTTCAAATATTAATAAAGTTAGCACACAATAAAAAAAATAAAAATAGAGAAAAGTAAAAGTGATAGGCGAATCAAACTACGAAGACTAGTTGTATCAGGCGAACCAATTCACTATATTTGAAAACTAGTACAATGAGTTCCAGTGTTTTTGGAACTACTCTCACAAGTCATTGATTCTCAAGTGCCTTTGGAATTGCCTGCCATTGCTTTAACTCCTAATAGTGTGCTCCAACTCTAGTGCCTTTGGAATTACACAAAACGGTGCAAAGATTTAAATGAAGTCCACTGCTCTAATCTAACTAAATAACTCCGTAGCAAAGCTGACGATACCACCGATCTGATATAGAACACCATACTAACACTCAATGTAAATGTGTCTGCTCAAATCAAAGAAATAAATCTCACAAAAAACTTAGCTTGGTTTTCTCAAAACCAGCAAAATTCTCAATAGAAGCCCAAGACAAGTTGAAAAAATTACTAAAATTTGGATTGCTTTGTTAAATAACGGTGAACAAATTTGCATATTTAAATGGAACATTTTCATGTATCACACAACATGCTATATAACATTTTGTGTGTTGTCTCTGAATTAAAAGATATTAAACATTACATTGTTAAGTGAGTTCAACCTCATGATTTATGCTATACATGAGCTAGACATTAGCAACTGGCTATTCCACTTATTCTCCACACATACCCACTGAAAAGTCCACACTACCACTATGCATTTTATGGGCATAGAGTACACCGTTAGTAGTCTTGAGTGGCTTTTAGCTTGGAGGTAGTACATGATTCAAATGATAACACGTGTTGTATCCATGCTTTAACCAATGTTCTCAACTTAATTTATTGACAGTTACACAACCAGCATGTTTAAATAATACAAACTGAATAAAGTAAAGAGGTGTAACCAGTATGTTTTAATAATACAAACTAAAAAAGTAAAGAAGTGTATCAAGATCATATTATATGAGCACAGGTCAAATATCAGAGGCTAGTGCTGGCCATTCCATTATACATTCAAGATTATATCTTAGATCATATAATGTACATGTCACCGTGTCTAAGTTTGTACAATGAAATACCTTCATGATTTAAAAAAACAAGTCATGGACAGTAACTAGAAAGGATGGCCAATTTCAAAATGGATATACAAGTTCTAAAGAAATTACTCGTCTTTCTTAAGTGAGCTTGAACTTATAATGTTAGGTAGAGGAGTCTTCCTAACATTTCAGTGAGTTTTATAATTATTTTAGAAATGATAATGAAACATTATTCCATATGAAAATTCTGCTCACAAGGCATTTCAAAAACAGTGATCATTAAACAAAGATATCCAAAGATGGTGATCAATGGCTGTTTAACTTGTATGCATCTAATAGTGCCTTACTTACCTCATTTTCCTATTAATCATCTTACTAGGATAGGCCACACATTTTGAATACTTGTTATTTAAATTTGGTGAGATGCTAGTATATAAATCCTCGGAGTTTCAGTACGGCAAAATTGTCCTTTTGAGAGTTCCTTTATAACCCTCAAATTCTGTATGCTTAGATTTAGATGGCTTGGCTTCCCTTTAACTTCAAATGCTAATACACCTCTGACAATTGGTTAGTGATTTGGGTAAGAAAGAGAATAGTACTTTAGAATGGCAAGGCATGTGATTTTCTCGTTTGTAGTAATATAGTTAAGTATATAGAATTAATCAACTCCATTGTCATGCCAAAACAGTAACTGGAAATGCAATTATCAATGTCAATTTACATTAATAACTAGGAATTTATTTATCAAAAAAATAATAATAATAACTAGGAATTATCAATTCCTGAACAAAAGTTCAAGAAGAAAGAAGAGACAGACTGCTTACCAGTTACGACTAGTAAATGAACAAGTTAATCCCACGAACAATCCAAGCAGCACAAAGTTCGCCGGATGACACGAGTGATAGTATACAACGAGCACAAAACTGCAACATATTCAACCCCAAATAAAAGCAACTTAAAAATATGCATAGCAATTAAAATTAAAAATTAAAAAAAAAAAAAAAAAAAAAAAAAAAAAAAAAAAAAAACTCCCAAAACTTTTGCCCAGAATCTAACTGAGATGTATACACCAGAAAATCAAAATGGTAGCAATGTAGCCCTATCAACTGGCATGTCACCTAAATTAGTCAACTTGCATCAATTTAATGAGTTACAAATACTTCTCAATTTCAAACCCCCAATTGAAGGTATCAAACCCTAAATTCCAGTTTGAATCTAAACCCTAACTCATATACACATACACATATAAATAAAAGCATATATAGTATATGCATAAACACACATTTACATGTATAGATAAATAAATACATAAATGTTACTGTATTGAGGCATGAAAGAGGAATAAACAGCCTAATTGAGGAAAGAGACTAAGAAATATTGAGAAATGAACCTGAGTAACTGTGACCAAAGGAAAGAGAGAGACTAAGCAACGAGCGGTCGTTCCAAAATTCTGTGACCGTGAACTAGCCCTGTAGATCCAGTAAAATAGAGACCGCGACTGTGACGGGAATCAGTTTGACGGTGAGAGGTTCGACGGAGACACAGGTAGAGAGACAAAGGAGTGTGCCGCTGAGGGTTCACCGCCTTGAATATGATAGAGAACCAGAGAGGAAAATAAACACTAAAGCAAGGCCGTGTTACCTTTCAAAATTAGGGGCGCGAATGGGCTTTTACAGTGGCGGGAATGTTTGGTTGCAATGAAATATGAGCCGGCAATATTTCAAATCAAATTATTGAATTACTTATAATTGGGTAAAGTCCATCTGATAATTAAGGAGGCACGTGATCCATGTGCCTTGGTCAAAATTTAGAATACCATATATACCCTTATGAGAGTTTTAGAACAATATTGACCATTATATATAATTATATATATATTCATCTTATATATACATTCGAACCAGAAAACCCCAAATTAGAAACTAACCTTCAAAGCACCAAATTCTAAGCTCCTATTGGGATGCTAAGAATATATTTAGAAAAGGAAAGTTGAAAATTTGATTGGGTTGTGATTTTCTTCTTTTGTTTTTTCTATGCAAGGTTGGATTAGTTTTTGAGAGTTTATGATCTTATATACATACATATATTATATATACACACACAAACACAAAGAATCTACTTAACCAGGGAAAAAAAAAAGAATTGGGTGCGTTTGTGATCTTATATACATACATATATTATATATATATACACACACAAACACATACCAAATTCTTTTAACTTCCCTTTTCTTTCTCTACAAAAACCCAATTGTAATCACACACAGAATCAATACACAAATATTCATACACAATAAGGGGTTGCCGGTCATGTATCAATTCAGAATCTTCAACGTCGGGAAAGGTCCGGCCCAAATTCGAAGAAACAGAGGAGCAAGATGAACAAGAAGAGGAGCAACCCCTCGTCGCCACTGGCCTCCACCGCGGTCCACAAGCCACAAATCAATCTGAATTCCTACCCTAGTTCACTGCCAGACTACTTTAATCGATCTTTTTAAGCTTTCTTCTTCTACCAACACTTTATAATTTGGCATTTTTCAGGGGAGGATTGTTGGTCGAATTAAAAACGAAGCTATGAACAGATAAAGGCGTAGATATGGAAAAAAGTAACAGGAGCCAACTCAATGAAAATCGAACTGTAAGAGAGAGGGAGAGAGAAAATAAGTCGTGTTGCTTGAATTTTTGTTTTTATCTTTACAAAATAGTGAGTACATCCATTAGGTTGCGCATTTTATGAAAATTGAAAATGATAAAATAATTATAAAATGGATTTAGGACTAGGAAGTTAATTATATTATATAAAAAATTATAATAAATGGGGCTAATTCTATAAAACTCTGCTTTTAAATTTTGATTATAAACTCTCAATTTATTTCAGAAAACTCTCCTATATTTTAAAAAGTGATCAAATTATTTTAACATTCCTGTCCGATCCGTTAATTCAGCTATGGTCAAATTTAAAATTATTTTTTTAAAAATTATAAAAATATCCTTTAATTATATTTTTAACCCTCCCTCTCTCTCTCTAAATTATTTTTAGTTTTAAAATTAACATTAAATAATAAAATTAAATTTGTTATTTTACATCGGGGTTAACGAGTAAGACATAGGTATTAGAATAATTTGATCACTTTTTAAAATATAAGGAAGTTTCTGAAATTGGAAGTTTATTATCAAAATTTTAAAGTAACAAAAGTTTATGAAATTAGCCTTAATAAATAATTTGATTTGATCCGATACAATCTTAAAAAATCTCAAACTGTAAGGTCGGGTTTGATTTTCTAATCCACCGTTTTTTTTCAAACCCTGCTTGCTAGGCTGCTACCACCACCAGCCGAAAAGCAGAAATGATTTTGTCCAGGTTTTTTTAATTTATACCCATTATTTTTCTAATTGGCTCATCATGATGCTGATGATATATGATGATGAAAATATTGACATTGAACAAATTGATCTTTGATTATGTCTATTGACTTTTATTAAATTAAAAAGTCAATAATGGATGGCTGGTAATAATTGGAGGAGTCAGATTCCTAAAGTTTCATGATCGTTGACTGCTTGTCACTGAGAAATTACTGTACTATTGCAGACCACCATTTATTTTGTTTCTCGCAACAATTGTGCCTAGTTCAATGCAAGTGTTGCTTGAAAAACCAGTCATATGATTTGTCCACTTATTTTCTCCGGTTAAACCATTCTTGATATGTAAATGAAAGAAGTATTAAGAAATTAAATACAATTTGAAGTTACGTTGTATATGAGGTAAAACAAAAAAAACAAAAAAAAAATATCATTGTATTTGGTCCAAATTCCAATTAATATGAATGAAAATTTAAATTATTTTTTTTTTTTTTTAATTCTAAATTTAAAGTGTTGATTTCGCATTACTAAATAGCATTTTTCAAACTGAACCTAAATAAACTCAAACACTTGACTTTTTCCCGGACTAACGTCCATTAGTGCGTGTTTGTTCCAATCGGATACACAAGGGCCTCGTGGCCCGTGAGTGTGCTCGAAAGTCTACATTTGGTTACAAACTTACAAATTACAACATCTATTATTATTAAAAAAAAAAACATGTATTAAAATAAGGTGGGATTGTGCCAAGGAGGACCGAAGCAGGTCAGAAGAAACGTGGGTCAAGTACCAACTCAGTGACTCACATGCAAAACAAAACACCAGTCAAGCCATAACTCGGTGACTCACCACAAACAAAACAAAACACAAGTCAGTCAGGTAACAAAAATAAAAAAATAAAATATTTATCTCTAAGGGTTCTATAAATTAAACATCTACTATCAATAAACATGTCATATTAATTTTAAGCATTTTATAAATGATAAAATTACTAACAATTTTTGTTTTCCAAAAAAGGTATTTCCAAAAATTTTATGCGTGATTTAATTAAATAAAAATTTATATTTTGTGTCCATCGTACAACATCAGCTCTTGAATCTTGAAGATTGAACAATAGAATTTAACAGTTAATATTGTGAGGTGGTCGATTGCATTTATTAGTACTTGTTAGCTGATAAATTATGGGCCGCTACATATCAACATTATTATTGTTAAAAATAAAATAAATAAAAATATTATTATTACTCATTTTGTCACATATTGAATGACATTATAAGTTTAGACGAGGACATGCAATTAATTCATTATTTCTCTATAAGATTATTAAGTTATCAATTTATGTTTAAATACGTATGTGTATGTGTATGTGTATGTGTATGTGTATGTTTTAGGACAAAATTATTAGAGTTTGTGGTTAGTTGTCAGAAGGAATGGAGGGATAGAAAGATTCGAACATGAAATACTAGGAGTAACTAACTATTTAGATAACATATTTGTTTAAATATGTAGATTATAAAGTTATAATATTTTAAAATTTTAAAAAATAATTATGAAAAGACAATATATTTTGCTTTCACTTTTCATAACTAATTCGAGACAATGGAACTACTAATGTGGTATTATTATTATTAGCATGGTACTACTAATATGGTAGTATTATTATTGTCCTCCTCCAACAAAAAGAAAAAAATTTTAAAAAGTAAAAGAAAGATTGACTCAGCCTTTGTTACTCTTATCTTCCAAGCTCTTTCCATGTATAATATAAAATATACAGCGAAAAGTCTACACAACAATAAAAAGGGTAATCGCATTACACATAAAGTTCATAAAGACTGCGGATCCCTAGAGGAAGATCTAGAGAGAGAGAGAGAGTTTTAGAGAGAGAAGGTGATGGCCGGACTACAGAGATCTACATCATCATTCAGGAGGCAAGGCTCATCAGGCCTGGTGTGGGATGATAAGCTTCTGGCCGCTGAAGTGAAGAAAGCAGAACAAGAGAAACAACAACGACGACAAGAAGAAGAAGAACAGAAAAAAGAGGCCAAGCCTTCCACAACCGTCGGATCAATCAGCACACTGGATCGGAGCCGATCCAACGGTGGGGAACGCGCGTTCCGCACCGACAAGGTGTCGCCGGCGATCGAGCCGCCGTCTCCGAAGGTTTCCGCATGTGGGTTTTGCAGTGCTTTTGGGAAACCAGACAAGACCCGTCGTCGACCCAAATCCGGCAGGCGCAGAACATGATAAGTCGGAGTTTTTACGTTGCCGGAGGTGGAATTTACAGGTGACCACGTGTACGGAGATTCGTGGTCATTGACCGTGATACGTGAATTAGCTGTAACTGTTTGTTAATGGGTTATTTTTAAGTTCTCTCAAAGAATTTTGAATCTAAGAACAAACCATTAACGTTTTCTGTTTTTATTGTTTTTATGTCCATGATTTTTTTGTTCCTGAGGAGATTTTAGAGATAGAGATGGTTTTGTGGAAGTAATTTTATGTGTTAATTTGGTTTTTTTGGGTTCTTGAGGAGAATTTGTTGTACAAAAGAAAATCTAATCTCCATTCTGAAACTCTCTATTTCATGATTATGCAATAAGAAATTTGTATTTACCATCTAGACAAATAAATCCTATAAATTTCCTTCATATGACTAATAAGTCTTTCTTTTTAGGATTAATTACAATATCATCTTGCTGACAATTATACACAATTTAGTTGTTATTTAAACGAAACACCCCTTAGGTTTTATAAAGCAAACAAACACACTCAAACTTGGTGAATTGACATTATTGTCTCTTGATGCATTCAATTATCAATTTATCCAATACAATTTTTCTTTTTATTAACCAAAATACCCTACTAATAAACCAAAGCCACCACCATCCACTCCTAAATGAACCCACCACCACACTATCACACTCCACAATGCACAGAACCTACCGTCAATGTTCAAGATTCTTGCCGTCTTTGCTCACCGGACATAACATCCTCAGTCGAACCTGTCTTCCTCCTTATCGGACTCTTCTTTGCACAGCCGTTCTGCCGCCACCAGATCTTCCTCTCTAGCCGTCTTAATTTGCTAGCCAGAATCCGAGCTCTTTGGATAAACTACTCAAAACTTCATGAATTCGAAGAATTAAACTGAGAACAAGTTTCAAAATACATTCATGCATTCAATATATATATATATATTAGGAAAAGGCAAATGCGATATAAAATTTTTATAACTTATAAAATTTTTGTTTTCATATTGATTAATAAAAATTTATTTTATATTAATAAATAAATACTGAAATATTTTGAAATTGGTGATAGGGTTTAAGTTTCGTAAATTAATAAATTTTTTTATTTTTTATTAAATAATAATTTTTTATTTTAATAATGAAATATTTGAGTTTTGCAAAGTAACAAATTTTTTTAGGTAATTTGTAATTTGAATTTTATTAGATAATTTGAAATTTAGTATAATTTTTAATTTACACTAGAAATTCAATTATATTAATTTTTAATTAAATTTTAAAATAGAAATTCAATTATACTAATTATACATTAGATTGAAATTGATATAAAATTTTATTATACGGAGTTTGTGGTTTTTGGAAGACCCTAAGTTATATTTTATTTTATTTAAATATGTAATTTGTGGTACAATTTTATAGAAATTATTTTATTTTATTTAGATATATCTTTGTAAAATTAGATTTTCTTTTATTAAAAAATTCATAAAAAATAGATAATACAAGGGTTATATACTTATATGTGATAGAATTCTCTTTTTGTATTAATTAATAAATATTTTTTATATTAAAAAATAAATACTGAAATGTTTAATTTTTTTAACATTTATATTTTATTTATATGTATTATTATATTATTATGTATTTCCTTTAAATATATCCTTCTCTAATGTGATAGAGTTATAGAAATTGTTTTGTTTTCTTTAAATATATCCTTCTTTAATTAGATTTTATTTTATTTAAAAACTCATAATAAATAGATAAATACAGGTTATATGTTTTATAAAAACTATTTAAATATAACCTTATCTAATGTGATAGAGTTTCACTGCAAATAAAATAGGTAATTTGTGATAGAATTTTATATAAATTATTTATTTTCTTTAAATATATATATCCTTGTCTAATTAGATTTTTTATTTATTAAAAACCTCATAATAAAAGATAATTTGTGGTAGAGTTTTAGAAAAATTATTTTATTTTTTATACCAATTAATAATTCTTGTCTAGTTATATTATATTTTATTAAAAAATTCATAATAAATACATAAATAGGTAATTTATATTAGAATTTTATATAAACCCTTTAAAAAAAATATTTTATTTTATTTACATATATCGTTGTCTAATTAGATTTCCTTTATCCAAAAACTCACAATAAATAGATAAAAACAAGTTATATGTGATATAGTTTTAAAGAAAATAAAATAGATAATTTGTGATAGAGCTTTATAGAAATTATTATATTTTCTGAAAATCTATTTATAATAAATAAATAAATAGGTAATTTGTGTTACAGTTTAATAGAAATTCTTTAAAAAACACTTTTTATATCAATTAATAAATATTTTTTTATATTAATAATTCTTGTCTAATTGGATTTCCTTTTATTAAAAAACTCATAATAAATGGATAAATAGGCAATTTGTGTTAGAGTTTTATAGAAACTCTTTTCAAACCTCTTTTTATATTAATTAATAAATATTTTTTTTTATCTTAATAATGCTTGTCTAATTACATTTTATTTTATTAAAAAAACTTATAATAAATAGATAAATAGGTAATTGTGATATAGTTTTATAGAAACTCTTTTAAAAACTCTTTTTATATCAATTAATAAATAATAATTTGTATTAATAATATTTGTCTAATTAGATCTCCTTTTTTTAAAAAATAGTTAATAAATATATAAATAGAAAATTTGAGTTAAAATTTTATAGAAACTCTTTAAATATTATATCTTTGTCTACTGTGATAGAGTTTTATTGAAAATAAAATTTATGATTTGTGATAGAGTTTTATAAAAATTATTTTATTTTCTTTAAATATATCCTTGTTTAATTAGATTTAATTTTATTAAGAAACTCATAATAAAAGTTAATTTGTGGTAGAGTTTTAGAAAAATTGTTGTATTTTAAATATCAATAAATAAATATTTTTTATATTAATAATTCTAGTCTAATTAGATTTTATTTTATTAAAAAATTCATATTAACAAATAGATAAATAAACTAACTTAAATTTTATTAGATATCTTTTAGAGTTTGATAGACATTTTTTTATTTTTATAAAAACTCTTTGCATATCAATTAATAAATATTTTTTATATAAATAAATGAATACTGAAATACTCAAACTCTTTGCACATTTATTATTTTATTTTCTTTAAATATATCCTTGTCTAATTAAATTTAATTTTATTAAGACACTCATAATAAAAGTTAATTTGTGGTAGAGTTTTAGAAAAATTTATTTTATTTTATATATCAATTAATAAGTATTTTTTATATTAATAAATCTTGTCTAATTCAATTTTCTTTTATTAAAAAATTCATAATAATAAATAGATAAATAGGTTAATTTAAATTTTATTAGATAGATTTTGGAGTTTGATAGAGCTTTTTTAAAAAAAAAAATTAAAAAAAAATACTTTTCATATCAATTAATAAATATATATTTTTATAAATAGATACTTAAATACTGAAACTCTTTGCACATTTAATAGTTGTATAGATAAAATCTTTTTTACATTAATTAATAAATATTTTTTTATGTAATTATATAAATACCGAAACACTTTGGTAGATCTTCTGTATTTTACTCTGAAAATTAGATTTTTTTTTTATTAAAAAATTGTGATTTGTAATACGTGTTAGAGTATTATAGAAAATATTTTTAAACTCTTTTTACATGAATTAATAAATATTTTTATATTTTAATAATTCCTACCTAATTAGATTAGCTTTTATTAAAAAAAAAAACTCATAATAAAAGGTAATTTGTGGTAGAATTTTAGAAATTTTATTTTATTTTTTATATTAATTAAAAATATTTTTTATATTAATAATTCTTGTCTGCTTAGATTTTCTTTTATTAAAAAACACATAATAAATAAATAGTTAGTTTGTGTTAGAGTTTAATATAAACTCTTTTAAAAACTCTTTTATATCAATTAATAAATATTTTTTATTTTAATAATTATTGTCTAATTACATTTATTTCGTTAAAAAACTAATAATAAATAGATAAATAGGTAATTTGTGTTACGGTTTTTTAAAAACTCTTTTAAAACCTCTTTTTATATCAGTTAATAAATAATTTTTTATATTAATAATAGTTGTTTAATTAGGTTTCTTTTTATTAAAAAACTCATAATAAATAGATAAACCGGTAATTTGTGTTCGAGTTTTATAGAAAATCTGTTGATAGAGTTTTATGGAAAATAAAATGGATAATTTGTAATAAAGTTTTATAGAAATTATTTAATTTTCTATAAATATAAACTTGTCTAATTAGATTTAATTTTATTAAGAAATTCATAGTAGAGTTAAATAAAAATTGTTTTCTTTTATATATCAATTAATAAATATTTTTATATTAATAATTCTTGTCTAATTAGATTTATTTTATTAAAAAATTGATAATAATAAATAGATAAATAGGTTAACTTAAATTTTATTATGTAGATTTTAGTGTTTTATCGTATTATTTAATAAATATTTTTTTTACATAAATAAATAAATATTGAAACTTTTTACTCATAATTGATAAAAACTCTTTCTATATCAGTTAATAAATATTTTTTTATATAAATATTGAAATACTCAAACTCTTTGATAGAGCTTCTGTATTTTACTCTGGAATTTAACTCTTTTTATATCAATTAATAAATATTTTTTTATATAAATAAATAAATACTGAAATTCTTTCGCAGAACTTCTGTATTTTACTCTGGAATTATAGATTTATAAAATTCTCAATTTCTGTACCCCTTCCTCCTTCCTCCATGTCTCTATATATAGGCTTATTTGATGAATAAGATAATGACATGTGTCATTTTCTGATAATAACATAATCATAACTGGGCCGGGCCGGTTATATTGTGATAATTATCCATAAAAAATAACAAAAAATAAGAGTTTTATATAGAATATGATTGATTTTATTAGGTAATTTTTAAATTTTTATAAAAACTATAATTATCTATTAAAAAAACTAAAAATAAGAGTTTTATATATAATTTGATTGATTTTATTAGGTAATTTTTAGATTTTTATAAAAACTATAATTATCCATTAAAAAAAACTAAAAATAAGTGTTTTATATAGAATGTGATTGGTTTTATTAGGTAATTAGAGTTTATTTTATTAAAATACTTGTAATAAATAAATACATAGGTAATTTGTGTTAAAGTTTAATATAAACTCTTTTAAAAACTCTTTTTCATATTAATTAATAAATATTTTTTATTTTA